TTGTCTGCCCAAAACAAGCGCAGCATCTAACTTGTGGTCCAGCAGTCAGAAATACGAATTATAAGACGAAATTGTTTCCGAAGTTAAGCTTATTAGCCTTGAAAGGGACCATAACTGGGGACAGTCCAATCTCCTCGCCATCAGCTGGTGTCTAGAATCGATTCTCACTGAAACGTGCTCGAAAATCTAAGGGTGGTATAATGATCATGCGATGTATTTTTAACATAACAAGTAGCTTACAGCAATAAAGTATATTGGACATTGTTTACAAATCTGGATAAAAAAAATCTTTCCGAAATTTTTTAGCGTTTTTCTTTTTTTAAATTCGAGACTTTTGACGCTCGTGGGATTTACCCCTATTCCCTTTCGATCGTGAAATGTGAGAACTTTCATTTAATACACTTATTGGTAGTAACTTGCCTGTGCTCCTGCTGGTTATCTTAATCTTTATATTACCCGCGGGTTTGAAAGAATGACCGTGTACAGATGCATTCAAAATATTTACAACAAGTAAAGCGGGATTCGGTTCATTTTAAGCGTACAATTTTCTTCCTATGGTGCTGGTGATGATGGTAATATATGATGTATGGTTAATGATAGTTTTAACAACGCAATCAGCTCTCAAGATTTATGGAAGCCTAAGGTTAGAGGTTACAGCTGCATGAGTTACTTGTCTGCGTTCATTGTCGTTAGAAGATAAAGGAAAACCATTTGCACGAATGATCGGATGAGTAATTTACATCTCGCACCCCGTGTTGACCAATCGCTTTTTGACTTGGCATGTCGGCACGAGATTTTTATCTTGATAATGGCATTCATTTCGCAATATTTTTAATTGGGTCAATTCACCCGTGACCAGTGACTTAAGACCGAAACTGCTTCATAGCAGTATTTGGCCTTGCATTGCAATATCATTATCTTTTGTTTTTCTTTAAACCCCTCCGAAGTTTTTCGTTTGGTTTCTGGTTTTTTGAAACCGTTTTGAAAGGCTAAACAAAAACGTTAATCCGTGCGTGTTTTGTGCGTGAAACCCAAGCGCTTTGTCTTAAAAGCTAAACGGAAAACCCACCAAAAGACTGAATCTTGAGGCACCTCATGTGTGGGTTCAAATAAGCGTGTCTTGCGGACATAGAAATGATATATTATTCAAGAAGTGTGGTCAAAATTGCTTCCCTTTCATCTCAGGGATCTTAAAGACATCAGGGGTTCTTCGCGGACTTTTTGGGTTACGTTACGACTTGGGAATTATGTGAGAGATCAAAAAGTGTAGAGAAGAAAGAGAACAATAAAACAATAAGTCGAACATGGTATTCTTTCGAGATTTGATATCAGGATTTCATCTGTTTACTAATACGTCACGGATGAATTAGAACAGCTTGTCAAAAATAAGTTTGATCACGTCCCAAAACAAAGAGCAGATTTGTACCTTTAACTGAATAATTTGTCGAGAAACTGCGCTAAAAATAAAATGCTGCCCAAATTGTCATGAGATTAAATAATTTGGAGGAGAATCGTGTTGTTTGGGTGTCAGTCGAAAGAGTTCCCTTTTAGCTGAAGCGAAACCGAAAAACAACAAAAGACTATTCACATATCGACCTCTTGCCTAGCAACGCCACTCAGAGCCTTTGTAACATGCTGGATTGTGATTGGTCACACACATGACGTCACGGAAAGGGATTTTTACCAGACGCATAAAAGTATTATTTCCGCTAAATTTTCGATACGAAGAATAGCTGAAAGGAGGTTTAATTGAGGGCGATCTTGAAGGCGAGAAAATCGTCGTTTAAGAAGGTTGGTAGCTTTCTAGGAAAGCACTGTGATAGAGATACCGAGAAAGAAACTGTCTGTCGAAAGAACGGGGTTAATTTGGAACAATACCAGCGAGGGCAAACGAAAACTGTGTGCGTTCAAGGATAAACATTCTATTCGACATAAACCATGAAGACCGAAATCGAAATGGCTTGTAGATTTTTGACGAAAATCTTGAGAGGGAGTGCAAAGCTGTCAGAGAAGCAGATAGAGGCTTTTCACAAGAAGACGAAGGAGATTTTGTGTGCGAGATACAAGCATCACTGGCATCCGCAGAATCCTTTGTTAGGAAGTGGGTTTCGCTGTATTAGAATCAACCATTCCTTAGATCCCGTTCTCGCTGAAGCAGCCCAAGCCTGTGGTCTTGTCAACAACGATCTTGCTCTCCCCGATGAGCTAACGCTTTGGATCGACCCTAAATCAGTGGCGTTTCGAATTGGGGAAAACGGATCAATTTGCGACCTGGATGAATCAATGATTTCTCAAGAAAACAACACAAGCAAGCCCTCGCCAAAAGAAGCACTGAATTCAAGGAATCAAGAGAGAAGACCAGCCAAGAGAAATAGCATGAATATCCTTAATTGCACGAAGGATGTGGTCAGTTTTCCAGTATCGTCTTGCATTCCATGTTAGCGTTAAAAAACCAAATCAGAGAGAACTTAAAGTTAAAAATGTTTGTGTGCATATAAAAAATTTTCGGGTATACAAAGATATGTAAATTTCACGTTCGATCGAATTTATTCCTTTTAAGTTGTGTTGGTGTATAAAGAAAGCTCGACTTTGTTAATTTTTCTTTGGCTGGGAATTTTGTAAGATAACAGCAACGACCTGTATTTTTAACTGTATAGAATTTTGTATAAAAGTCTGTACAGTTTGCTGTTCACAGCAATAATAAATTGGATAACACTGAAGCATATTCAAGGCCGTTTACGTGTTATTGTGGTGATTCTTTGGCAGTGTATATTTGCTTTTGGAAACGTACCAACACGCAATATATCGGGCATATTTATCAACATTTCGCTTATCTGAAGCAATGAGAAGTTAAAAACGAAAGGGCTTTTGGCGGATTTATGGACCTTTATTTAGAATATGTCTTTGTTCAATTATTCAGTGTCCCGATGGAAGGCAAGTCACCTGATTTCACCATGTGTTTCTCAAAGCGATGTAAATGGACACATTGTTTTGTTTCTTTGAATTTACGGGGTCTTATAGGAACTAGTAAGTCTTACGAATTACAACGCTTTTAAATAGAATTGGCACTGCTAACATTAGAATTGTTCGTTGCAGTTCGTACTACGGACTAGCCTGTTTTCGTATCATGTGAAGAAACACGTAATGCAATGAACCTAACACCCTTCAGTGATGCGTGGCGAAACACACCATTTTATGGCTCTAATTGAATATTTATTCCATTTAACATTCCTCAAAACGTTCGTTCGCGATAAAAATTTGCAATGCGCCCAAAGAATCCGAGCATCTCAGTGGAAGCCCCTTATTCATCTGTTATTGCTCTTGTCCATTGTTACTATTTTTGGCGAATTTACTGTGACGTATCGGATGACGCTTAAACAGCTGAGAGGAATGTGTCACGTTTTACAATATCGCGTGCCGCCGAGAAGAAGGAGTATTATCGCGGAAAGAAAACATAATGATACTCGCATGGCATCCCCGAACACCAAATCCATGTTCTTGATTACAAGTAAGATCTCAGTAAATTTTGCGCGATATCGAAGTTTCGCGCGCAGACCGTCGAGTCTTAATATATGATTTTGGGACATAATCTGTGAGGGATGATTCTGTTTTGTGCTTTAAAAAAATTATTTAAGATGGGGCGCCCTAAACACTTGTGCTAACTTTAGGTGCGAGAACGCCCTAAACAAAATATTGTTCACATGTAGAGTTCTTTTGTTTTCTTGGCTGCATTGTGTTTTTTTGTTGTTGTTGTTGTTGTTGTTGCAGAAGCCACAAAGAAGGTCTTGCAAGGGAAGGAAATCTAATAATTCAGTGTTCTTTGAAATGCTCCCTTTTTCGTTGAGGTTTAATAGGGCTTTAAAAAAAAACCGTCCTGAAAAAACAACCCTAGGCCTAGGTATGGAGGGAAACAGTGTACGTACCGCATGCGGTTTTACCCTGAACAAGGAAACAAAGTTACCTTACCTGCCTTGATAAATTTATTCTCAGGATGAGATAAGTACTAAAAACACTTCGTAAGCTATTTAAGCCAACTTCGTTCTTCTAGAAGACTTAACATAAGACACCACACAGAACAGCTACTATCAGTTTTGAAATTAAGTGATAAAATAATCTCCACTTGCACTTAATTAAACACAATACACTTTGTGCGCCTAAAAATGTTGCGTAGCTATTGTTCAGTTCTAACTGAATGTATTTGAAAAGTTTGGGGTGCACTGAGAGCGCTTGCAATGAGGATTGATAACTGGTATTTGTACACATGGGTATGAATGACAATTTTAGTTTGATCTTCATCCGGAGAGTATTTCTTGACACTGTATTATTAGCAGTCAGCTGTGTTGCATTGCTGTCAGCTATTACTCGGGAATTTTCCAAATTTAAAGTAGTTAACGGACTACTCTCAGATTATTCATTCGATCGCTCTCTATAGTGACCAAAAGGGAATTTCAAGAACATTTTCAAAGAGAAAAATGATGAAAGAAAAAATATCAATTCAGGGATAGAAGTAGAGTCATTAAAATGTACTGCAGATGGTGAGGAGAATTTACTTGTATTCAGGTCTTGGGGGTAAATAGGTTGGACTTCCAGGTCGGTGTTTTGAAACATCCTTGATGGAGACAGCCACCAGATGCTTGCCCAAAATTAGTAACTCTCCTCCTTCCACCCACACATACCTTAAGCCACTGTCATCAAGTACATTCACCCCTGATCTGCCAGAGGTGATTAACAAGTAACTTCTCCCTATAATATCCATACATTACCTCGCAAACAGGTAATGAAAATACTCAATTTATCTGGTAGTTACCTTGATATTTTCAGGTAGCAGAATAAGGAAAGGATATGGGATCCACTGGTATGCAATCCTCAAAAATAACATTTCTATTCCTCTATATTTGATTAAAAGTGGGAAAAAAAAAAGAAAACACTTCACTGTCCAAGAAATAGTTCCTGCGAGAAGTCACTCAGGAAGCTCTGTCTATGTAAAAAATAACACAAAGTAATGAAAAAGAACAACTTTATTTAAAACATATCATACACATGCATGTACAAACTAAAATCAAAATATCTTAGTTTACTAATGGTGCCAAAAGGAGACAGAAATAACTTTAAGAAACGTGGGATTCCCTTTCCGGGATAAACAATCTCTTAACTACATCCAAAAATCACAAAATCCCCATTTCCTTTGTAACTGAGGGACTAATCTTGTTATCTGAAATAAAGAACCTTGAAAATGATGCTGCAAACACCTGAAATGTTGAAGATTGAGAGAGGAGGCTGTGATAGTTCAAACAAAATCATTCTGGTATTCTAACCAAAAAGGGTCAGTGGGAGAAAATTCAAAAGGTATCTCTGTAAACTTTCGTAGGTGAAATAACTGTTAACTCAGGTATATATTAATTATTAGTTTTCAGGTCTGGCTAAATTAGTCTGAATAAATAACTACGCAAAGGAATGCTATAAACAGTGGCACACTTGTGGATAATAGTGAGATGCAATTTCACTTTTTAGCAGCAAGGCCTTTAAGACCAAACTAATGGTTACAAACACACTGCAAAGCAACAAAAAATGAAAAGGTTTCTGCTCAATACCAAGTGAGATCCAAACTAAGAATTTTACTTAACTTAAACAACAACCTGAACAAGATATATTAATGCACACCCTCCCTGCTTTAAAAGCTCTTTGGAAACAACTGACTTTTATCACTACCACTTCACTCCTTAAATCCCAAAAGTGATTAACATGTAACTTTTCACTATGGTATCCATATATAATCCAGCAAATGAGATAGAATACTCTAAAAGAATAATCAAACTTATCAGCTGGAAGTTGTTGCCTTGATCTAACAACAAATTCTCACATCTAATTTACAAGGAAATCTATAGTAGCTGGGAAGGAGAATTACATGTAACAATCAGATTTTGGGAGTGAAAGGATTAAATGTATCTTTAGTGAATGTCAAAATAAGAACTGCAAGCAAGGAAGGAGTAAGCAAACCTACTGGTGTAATAAAATGTCTTTTACTTCTACAATCATGGTGTACACATGATTCACACATTCTCTTGGAGTTTGAAATCACAAGCTACATATTACAAAGAGCAAATGTCAACTAGGAAAATGGTGGGATAAAAATCTAAGATGGATCTCTTGCTATCAGAGGAAGTGCAAAGGAAATCTGTTTATTCATCGTCATCATCATCGTCGTCGTCATCATCGTCTTCATCATCATCTCCTGCAAAATACAACGAAGCTAACTTAAACATTTGATTCTGTAATTACATTTAGCCAATGTCAATTTAGCCTAGTGATAGAGTGTCAGGGGTTTATGATAAAGTTTTTCCAGAAGCAGTTGCCAATGGTATAATAGGCAGCTGTGCATGAAAAGGAGCTGTAACCCAAACAAAAACACAAGAACCTGCTTGCAGACTAAACAGACAGTGATAAGAGGTCTTACTGGCTGCGGTAGTCAGATTTTATTGAAACCCCTGAAGTGGGATTAATTTAACACAGAAAACTTCAGTGGCACAAGAGTAAAGATAGAGCCTGGTTAGTATAAAGCTTTAGGTACCTCTCCTTTGCAGTCCTAGAAATAATACTGTGATAAAATGTAAATGCAAAAAAGGCAACCGATGACTCTTCCAAGGGCACGCATTTCAGTTGTCAACTGAAACACATGATTAGTTTCACCTTGCCAGCTGACACAGCTTGCCAGAGAACAAATTTGGACTCCATTATTAGGATGTTCCACTATTTTTTCATCTTGGAGCTTTCAAAAATGTAAAATAAGGCCTCACTATAACCACTCTTGGCTCAATCTATAAATCAGTCTGAAACCGTTGCAATTTTTAAAAAAAATAAAAAACCAAGAAAACTTATTTTTTTAGTGCCCATTTTTAGTTATACAGTAAGTTTTTTTTTTATTTTTAGTTTTAGTTTTGGTATGCTATTAATTGTCACTTTTCTGAGCATGGAAGCAAGGTCTAAGGTTATACATCTCACAAGGAGTGCAACCTCAAACCTTTAAATTCTGCCCTCTGATGCTCTGGAATCTGTAGGTTAGAGGTTTGATTCCTCATTGGGACTCAAACTGTTTTCTTTAACCCATGCTTGTGACAAGACGAAAAAAAAATGTTTTCTCCTTCTCATAACCAAGTTAAAATTTACAATCTTTCTTATTCTGTTTAAATCTATAACTGTTGTCAACAGACCATCATCATCATCTTCAGGCTCTTCTTCCTCTTCATCATCATCATCATCATCTTCATCTTCATCATCCTCCTCTTCAGACTCTGATGCTTTAGCAACCTCCTTTTTAGGTGGAGGCTTCTTCTTCTCTGACTTTGCTTTTGGTGGGGCTGCTACCTCCTTTCCAGCATTCTATGAATAAAATGACAATACAAAAAAACAGGTTACCAAATTAACCTTTCCACTCTCAGCGACAATTAACATGAAACTTGTCCCTATAATATCCATGCATGATCCATCAAAAAGGTGATGAAAGTACTCAAACATATTAGGTAGAAGTTTTATTGTGATCCAACACCAAATTCTCATAACTAATTTTCAAGGAAATGTGCAGCAACCAAAGGGAAGAATTAACAATCAGTCTTAGGAGATAAAAGGTTAACAACAGGTTGGTGGGCTGGTTGTTTGCATACTGCACTCTCAGAGGTCTAGGTTCGAGACCTGTCAGGCACACCATGTTGTGTTTTTGGGCCTGACACTTGAGTCTTACAGAGCATCTCTCAATGTGGAACTTACAGAGCATCTCTCAATGTGGAACTTACAGAGCATCTCTCAATGTGGAACTTACAGAGCATCTCTCAATGTGGAACTTACAGAGCATCTCTCAATGTGGAACTTACAGAGCATCTCTCAGTGTGGAAGTAAAAATGATTTCAAGATTTTAGCAAACACTTACCTTCTTCCTCCACTCTTCCATTGCAGCTTCATGTTTCTTTTTAGCTACTGCCTCCTGCTGTTTGTATTTCTCTTTGTCCTTGTCAGTCATGGTTCGCCACTTCTCTCCAGCCAAGGCAGGAATTTTCTGATTATCATCAATCTTTTTCCCTTTCATTTGCTCTCGGAATTCAGCAAGGAAAATGAAATAAGCTGTGGGAGCACGCTTTGGTTTATCTGATTCTTTCTTGGCAAGTTTACCACTCTGTGAAGATAGACAAAGACTTAATATCAGGGTTCATACCCTTTCAAGCTTAAATTTCAGATAACATGATTGTTTGAAGCTTTTTTTTTCTCCAATTTTCAGATGTTTTCTGCAATCAAAAACAATCTCTCTACTCAAGTATATACTTTTTTTGACAGAAAAATTGTTTCTTATCATATTCCTTCTTTTTCTCTTACCCACACTTAAATTGAAGGACTTTCCACAACTGGAAAATGATATTATGAAATGAAGTCAAATATTTTGTGGTTTTCCATAACATGTACAGTGCTGCCAGGTAGATTTCAACACAGATTTCCAGGACCAAAGAATAAAAGGGCAGAGTTCTGATTCGAAGTCAGAAAGTTGCTAAACCTACTTGTTGTCAAGCCATTTGTGAATTGTGATCAGACAAGAAATAAGTTTGTAGGTTTTCCCAAAGTCAAATATGTCTCAGACTCCTAGAAATCACATCTCACAGATTTTCAAATTTCAATTTTTATTCAAGGCAGTATGCCCCCCTAAACCCACCTGGAAGGGCGTGTTTGTTTTGTTTTGCAAGCATTCATCAAATCAGCTGCCTGCTCAGTTCAGATCATGCATCTATTACATTTTCATATAACAACCCTAGGAAAGTGAATCTTCTATATATGTTAAAAGTTTGGTGTTGCAAAAAGTATTAAATGTTCTTATACGAATTTATATGTCCCAAATAATGAAATATTTGAAAAAAGGTTCACTTTGGGTTAACTAAAATGGAATTTAAAAGGAGTCTAGTGGTAAATTTCAACATATTTTTGGACATATAGTTAAAATATTGCAAAAATATGACACAAAAAAATTTTCTTTGAGGTGTAAGTCCATATAACAAATATCAAAATTAATTTCAGCCAAAAATTTTAATACTATTGCATGAGACAAACTTTATGTCAGTCACTAACTCTGTTTAAGATTTTGCTATGCTTTGCTTATAAAATATAATTCCAAGGTGTTATGATTTGAAAGTCTTTCCAACTTTAACTGAAAACATCACAAAAATGAAATGAACTAGGTTATGAATTTGCAATACTACCATCTAACTGTTCATTTCAAATCTTTATGACTCCCACAGTCTTTCCTTCTTTACCCATTGTAACTTGGCCACAGAATTTCCTAATTTTTACAAAACTCAAACTTGTGAAAGTCTTTCTGTCAAGTTTGACCCATTTGGTTATTAAATTCTGAGAAACTAGATTTCACTGAGATATTTCTACACTCATGTGGTGCAAAAAAAAAATCAAAAAACAAAAATTTTAGCCTAACATCACTGGGAAAAAAACCTTTGTATGAAATTTATTTTTTAAGAAAAGAAAATGGAACATAGGTATCTCACTGTATGATCTCCATATATGCAATCAAATTCTTGCAAAAAAAGCTTTTACCTCAAAATAACAGGTTTACACATACACAAAATCAAAACGCATTGTGGCATTAAAGAATTTGAAATTTTGAAATCATTAGAAAATTCTCCTGAAAGAGTTCATACCTTCCTTAGAAACTTAAAATCACGTGACGTCAACACTTACACAGACAAGGAACAGTGGTAAGGTGGCGGCCATGTTGAACTCACGAAGAATGAGTAATTTAACCTTTCGTTTGAGCTTTGTTTTGCCAACAGTGCTTACTAACCTCCTTCAGGTAGCGCTCTTTGTCTTCCTGGGCCAAAATATTGTACGGTTTTTTCTCCTCATCCGTGAGATTTTTCCACGCTTCGCCCGCCATCTTCGCGACTTCGTTCGCCTTTGGAAGAGAATCGCCCTTCTTCTCGCATTTCTCTTTGAGCTTCTTTCGAAAATCTGTGGTGAAGTGAATGTAGGCAGAGGAGGCCCTTTTCACTTGGGGTCCGTCTCCTTTAGCCTTCTTTCTTTTCCCATCTTTAACAGTCTTGGCTTTCTTCGGTTTGGCCTTGGACAATGCTGCCTCCGCGGACCTTTTCTTTGACTTCGCTCCTTCGAGTAAAGAAGAACAACATCATGTCTTCGCGTCTTCCTAGTCGTAACGACTTAAAAGTGTCATTTGTCTCCAAATTTTAGCCCTTTCCATCGATAAAATGGCAGTAAAGGTCGAAATTTTAGGTAAGCGTAGGCAACGGTAAGTCCCCGAGGCATAATTTATAGTAGTCGGTGTATTCTCTGAGCGCGAATTTGAGTAAAGAAATTCGTAGAAATCGCTTTGAAATTAAACGCAGCAGACATTTTCCGCCGTTTAATCCGAGAAGAAGAGCTTAAAATACAAATGTAGGGTCTATCGGATCGTATTTTGTCGTTTAAACCGAATAAATTTTTGAGCTGACTACGGTCGTGCACACTTCCATATGTCCTATATGCTTCATAAGGCCTCGTATGAGGCTTGTAAGAAATATAAGACAACAAGGGAGAACAATTCATGGAGTCCCTCATAAGAGTTTGACTGAGATTTGAAAATAAAAGAGGCGCAATGCAACAAAATCCCAAGGTTACCTTCCATTTTGCCGGATTTGCGCTTTTCAGGTGTAGAACGATTTGCCTCTTTGCTTTTATCGAGTTTGCGCGGCTGAAACTGTCGATCCGCTAAGGTCTTTTCCACTACCTCACTGCTTCTCTTAGTATAAGAGCACAAGGGAAGAGACGCTTGTAAGAGACAAGAAGACAAACACGAGGTCGCTGAGCTGACGCGACACTTCTGCGCCTGCGCAGCAGACCAACTTTTCTATGTTTTCTAATCTGTGCTCTGGGCTATTTGTCATTGTCATTGCAGTGTCTCGACACTAATTCTACGAACAAAACCTTGTCTATTAAAAGAATGGTTTCGTCTTAATCCCACTCTGATCCCATCTTAGATTTATACAAACAGTCCTTCCCGCCAGTTCACTACGCCTTTTAAGGGAGGGTGGGGCGTGGGTAGGGCGGGTATTAACTCATCATCGGAGAGAATCCTGAATCCTTTCTAAAATTTTCAGCTCAGCCACGATTCATGGTATTTTGGAATCCACGAATCCGATTCACTCTTCACACCCCGCTCCTTTAGCTCCAGTTTTCTAGTTTTCACGATGAACTCAAGAGTAACTGGCTTTAAAGCAAAGACTCGAGATATTCATTTGCCTTTCACTTTTTATCCGATTTTTTTCTGCCTTAAATGATTAGAACATGATTCATGAATTTCTCTTCTTAGCTTGAATTTATCAGTCGTCAGGGTTTTCTGACGAAATCGTGCAGGTTAGGCAGTTACCACCTACAAAGTTTTCTAGTGTGACTAAATAAAATAAATGTTGTCTTTTTCAGTAAAAAAAATTACTCAGTAGGCGCTAATTTTCCTTGGGGTGCGACAGAAACTGTCGGTTTCTGTAGATTCTAATAAGACGCCACAGGCTTGTACCAGTTGGATTAGCATCAGTAAGGAATGCGCTCTCTGCTAATGGAAGTCACGCGACCTATCAACGTGTCTATCAGCACTCAGGATGGGGTCAGAGGTCACATCAATTTACACGTCAATTTTGTCTATATTTATATACACGAAACAATTTTCTTTGTTCCGACTAGCTAATAAGAGAAATGCAGTTTTCACTTAACATTATGCAATAATGTAATACAGTGAAGAAAATTGTTTTTGTAAGTCAACATAGGCAGCTATCCATTTAGCAAGGCCTTTGACCCTTCTTGCTGTGAAGAAAGTTTGAGACATTTTTTTTTTTTTTTATCGAATGCGTTTGTTTCCACCGATCGCAAATTGAATTATTCAGTTGCAAGAGATTCGTATGCTTTGGTTTTGCGTTATCTATGAAAAACCCTCTCAAGTTTATTGTAAATAAGTAATCACGTGATTTTCTCGTGCCCTTGTCGGTCTTAAACAGACACTCGTAATCCTTTTCTCCAAAGTCTTTAAATAGAAATCGCCCTACTGGCGCATGTAATTTTGTTGGTCCTTGATAATGATTACTCTTGCTTATTTATTCCAAATTGTTCTTGAAATCATGTGATTTCAAGAACATTTGGGGAGAATCTTGTCTGTATAAATTGATAAACGCAACGAGGGTAAGGTGAGCGAAGGGATGATCAAGGCCAAGGTTTGTTCGTTCTTAAATAAATTCACCAGGGTCAGTGTGGCTAGCTATTTCGCCAAAAGGAATGGAAATTAAAAATGTCGAGATACTTCGCTACCTATTCCATGACGAATGGGCCACGAAGAAACCCAAGAGACGAAAGAATGGAAGCCGTCTTCTATATTTGAAGCACCTGCCGTTTTAAGGGAGTTGAGGCGAATATCAATTATTGAGACCAATAACGGAACATTAACTCGACGTTAGGTCGTAACAACAGGGGCTTTGGCTCGAAGTATAATCCTGAACAATCACCTCAAATGTGAATAGGTAACAATTAAGTCAGCTTACAAACCAAATGACCCATGGAAACTCATTCCGCTTTTTCTGGCATCAAGCGACTAGTAGCATTGCTTACCTACTCCTTCCACCCCTCCCCCCTCAGGCTGGAATGCTATTGCAGGTTAACCCTCACCTTAAAGAGAAACAGACACTACGAGAGTAAGAACACATTGGAATGATCCAGTCAGGGTTCTAACCCGCTAGTTTCGTCCCGGAGTCCTGAGTGCTAATCGCTAAGCAACTGCGTCCTAACACATTTCACCGCAGGGGGGTGGGGTGCCCTTGGACTCCCCCCCTCCCGGCTAATGACCAAAATCACTGAAATAAACCAGCACGATACGTATGAGTGTCATGTTATTCCTTGGTAAGAAATATTCACATATTTTACAATTTTGAATGCTTAAAGTTTTAGGTAAGAAGAATCAGGCTCGATTTCCGCTGCTCTACCGAGTCCCGACATCATGGGCTCATTTCCCGACCAGCGACTGGTTATAGTCTCTGCAATGATGATCCACTTTGAAACTTTTACGACGGTGTCCCCAATGTAAAATGTTCAATACGAACAACGTCTTTGCTGGTTATGTCTTTGACTTGACGACAAGATTGCAAGCAGGCTTGTGTTTGCTCCAATGTTTCACCTGGCATTCCCTAAGAGGAAAAAAGCCAAAGTTAACAGAAGTAAAAATTTCCATGCACCGTAGACTAAAGTCGGCGAACAACGTCGGCAAATTCATGCATGTGAGGTGTTAGGTTTATATCGGCGATTATTGATAAAAAGATTGCCATTAGGCAAAATGAAAAACCATCATCATAGTCAATCAGAACAAAGGCACAAAGGCGTTCACATGGAGCGAATCAAAACTCAAAATTCATACACGTGACCGGCAACAAGCGCGGGAAAAAAGTGGGTGGTAGGTTTTTAACTCTTATTGGTTGAGAAAGGCGCGGGTTTTCTTGACCAACCAGAAGCGTGGTAAATAAAAACCAAAGTACGGTCATATTCGAAAGTAATCCAGCCAGAAATCCGTAGTCAGCGCTAGGGAAATGGAATCTCAACTTCCAGCTATCGTCCGTTTGTCAAACACGTTTGCTTATAATAACCTCTCTATCATTTTACCTCTTGCAATACCATTCAGTCTGACATCTTGAGCACCGCTTTGTCGCTGGCAGACCACACGAGGCGCATTTTGGAGGCTCGCTGACAAGTTCTTCCAGCATGTCCAAATTGTATGTGTCTGCCCACCTAAAAACAGACAGATCCACATCAAGATTCCTTTAAGTCTGAGAAGAAAGCGCAATGTGGAGTATTGGTTTTCGCAAAGTGAGGAAAAGAGAAGAACCACGAGAAAACTTTTGGAGCAAAAAGAGAACTAACAACTAACTCAAATCACAAACCCAACAAGCGTACCCCTTTGAAAAAGAGTTCCTCCTGTGGCCAAAATTTAAAATAAGTGCTCTCCGCTTTAAACGAGTAATTTTGTTGGCCGAACTAATAGACAGCACAGTTATCATTCAAGTACATCAAAAGGTTTTTAAACATCTTTTTCAATAACATAATTGTAACATTGAGAGTTATTAAGTATAAAATAATTATTGTCAAGTATACTCACATTTTAGCCTGCTTTTTAATATCCTCCGCTGATGGCGAAAAGAAAGCCTTTTTCTGGTATTTTGCAAACCTCTCCCATTTGCCTTGATTATCCTTTAAAAGTTTCTCTCTAATTTCTGGAACCTGGTTTTATTTTTTTTTTATAAATTAGAAAAAAATAATAATGAGAGAGGGGATCAGAGAAAGTGAACAAAACGTTTGGCTTTTAAAATCAAGCACAATTCATTTACCTGTTCTAAAATAATGTCCTTTTTTATTGCTGGTGGTTCCATGATGGACAGTTGCTCAAGGTATCGTTGCAGATCAATCAAACTGGGAATCTGATCCAGAAGAACCTCATTCATAAAACCTCGTAGCTGAAAATAAAGTCGAGAAAATCAATTGTCAACGACAATATGGACATCACCTTTCAGTCAAGCTGCTGATTAAGACCACAGGGGTGGATTTAGGAAGTTTTATGTAGGGGTAGGGGAGGAAATCCAAACTTTGATTATAGTCCAAATAAGTTAAGAAATATTTTAAGACATGTTAATTCTAAATGCTCTATGTTGAGTGTTAACAGTTGATCCTGTCACTGCCAACATTTTGATGACAGACAAGTAGTAAAAGGAAATCCATTGGTCTGAGGGGGAGGGGGAGTTCTGGAGCCTCTGAACCTCCCCTCCAACTGGATCTGCCCAGACTGTACCAAGTATATAGTTATTGCTAAATAAAAAAAAGACGTCAGTGCAATTACCTTTAATATTTGCTCCTTGCTATAAGAATTAAATTCATACTTTCTTTGACAGTCTTCATTCATGAGAAGTTGATGAATGGCAAGCCAGACCTAGGGATAAAACACAAATTTTAAAAACACAAAATCTTGAATTTTTTTGGTCAAAATCCTAATGCATGATCACTCTGTAAGAAACAAATTGATTCCAAACGGAGACTAGAACTAGAATAAAAATGATCAGCAAAACAATATACAAAGCCGACAAGTGATTAGCATAAAGGAAAATATAAATTAGGAGATTATCAGTTTTCATCCAATACCAAATTTCCAAGACTAACATCATAATTATTGTTTGACCAATAGAAAGGAGATTTAGTAAATAAATGAGATCTCGTGAGTGAAAGGAAAAACTTACTTGTCCCTCTGTTTTGCTAAGCTGAAGTCTTTCTCTTTCTGATATCTCTTTCCAAGCATTATCAATGAATTTCTTCAATTTTCCTGGAGTTCAAAAATGTGAAACCATTAAAATAGATCATAAAATATGCACACCATAATTTCACCTTTATACAGGCATACAAGCAGGACTGAAGTTATTAGAGACTGGGAACTGGCATAAGCTGCTGCAATGGCTTGCCATTTAGGGTGTTTATTTGCATGGTCTTTATTTTCCCACTGTTGCAACCCAATAATTCTTAAAAAACAGCTCTAAATGTTTATGAAAAGGGTCACCTTTGTCTCTTTTTATCCAAGGAGGATTTTCTACCAACTGAACAAGCACTACAGGGGTATCTGCAAGTGTGAAACAGAAAAAAAAACTGAATTTAAGGGTGTCTTTAATTCTCTTAGTTAAACTGCTATCTCTCTACATATTCAAGCACATGACAAGAAAAACACTTGTATTTGACATACACTGAACAATTATATAGCCTATTGAGTTCATTTTCTTTATGAAAAATTCAAGCTAATCATAACAATTGTATTCATCAAGGGATATTTTGCTTCTTAAATTTTGTCATAGCTTTAATTAATTGGTAACAAGAATCCTTGCTGCCAATTCTGACTGTGATCATACTCTGGATTAACCCTATAGCTACTAAGAGTGACCAGCATCTAATTTCTCCTTACAATATCACCCTTGAATCACTCATTGAGGTCACAAGAATAAAGCAAATGATCACCAACAAGACAAGTTCCTCATTGTCAAACTAGTTCTCCTTGTAAGCACTTTAAGAAATGAATAGAGAATGTTTTGGAGAAAAAGCTTGCTGAAGTGAAGGTGTGAAGGTTTAACAAATTATCAATCAGTTGTAAGATTACAGACCAAATTGTACTCCTCTTAGTCAAAGTACTATCATGACAATAGAGACAGGGTAACAAACAGTTGACACTTACTATGTGTGTTAAGTAGCCTTGTCATGACACTCAGAGGTAGACTACAAAAAAAGCAGATCTTTACCATCACAGGCCTTATGAAAGTTTGGCAAGTGAATGGGAAAAAAGTTTAAAAAGTCAAATTTTCTGTCTAATTTGTAATTCACCTTACCTTGATAAAGAGTCTGTGATGTATCTAAGAATTGACACAGACTTGACACAAACAGTAAAGAATATTGTTTTATCTTGCTTCTTTAACTCCTGAAAGAACAGAGAGAAAACTTTCTTACAAAGTCACTTTTCAAGGTCATAGAGGGGGTAAGTTTCTAAACAAACTGCAGTGCTGTGTTGGTGGGAGAGTATAGCAGGTAATTTAGTGTTAACAATTGAATTGAAAATTTGAATTGGCCACCATAAAGAGTTAAAAGGCTGATATTTCAAGTGTTAGCCCTTCGTCAGAGCAATTGACGAGGGGCTGATGCTCAAAATGTCAGCCTTTTAACTCTTTATGGTGGCCAATTCTCTATTCAAAGTGTCAGATAGGCATTAGGAAACAAAGACTTCTGTGGCTAACAAAATTCTGTGGTAAAAATGTGATGCCTAACATCATTATCTACATTCTTTATACTCTCCTTGATACATTTCCTTTAGTGCTGATAAGGAGAATTTGTTCAACAATCAAGAGGTTCTTTAGTTGGTATCATTTACTTTATTCTTGAGACCTCAATGTGTGATTCAGGGAAGATATTGTAAGGACAATTTAGATGTTGGTGATTCTCAGGGGTTAAAGTGTTAAGAAGTGGTGAATATATTACCCAATTACTATTTTAGCACATAATATTCATATGGTTAAATAACAAAATACCTCTATGCTTGAAAGATCATCACTGGAATCTGTCAATTCTCCATTACTAGAAACCTCATCATGTCTGTAAGTTTGGGTTTAAAGTTTTACAATCAATAAAAAATCAGTTGCTTGTTTTAAAGCTTGCCAAAAAGAATCAAATTCAGTTGGGAGCATAACACAAACTGACAAATATGATTTGAAAAACATCACTGATGTTCCCTAAAGACAGTCCAATATGTGGTACGTACTGTGCAATAAGCAGTGATATTCTTCTGAGGCAGTAATCAGCAAGGTCAAGAATGCTGTCACCAGCTGCTTCACATGCTTCCTATGGATACAATATATACCCCTTATGAAAAAAGTATGAGGTCTGTACTGTAAGCTTTCACTTTAAATTGATAATTCTAGAGGATTTGCATTGCGAAGACACAAATTGCAAACACCTATTACTCTCCAATAGATCTGATTTTCCAGTTACCATAATTTTTAAAGTAATAACCTAGATCTCAGGCAGCAACACAAAAGACTTTCTTGCATACCAGGGCTATTTATAGGAAAAGCTGAATCAATATGCATGCATTTTGATTGGTTCTCAATTGACTTATGGTCTGTTGAAGGACAGATGATGCCACTCTCAACCTTACCTTATGATAAAGAATGGTTTCCAGCAGGCTTATAACTGTTGCTTCATGAAAAAGCTACAAAATGACAAAAAAAAATGACAACCTTTTTAAACCTCAAATATCATTTAATACTAACACATCAAGCAGTATTTTTCTTTTCTCCTGCTTTCCAATTTATCATTGCAATACTACAAAATATTTTTTTAAACTTGGAGATTTTTGAGCTGCCAAGAAGCAGTGTTAATCACAACTTTAACAATGATCAATACCTTTCAGACTGTAGAAGATCTTAGTTTGTGGATCTTAGGTTATGTTGTTATTATCTCAAGGGGATGAATGGCCCACAATAGCATGCATTTCTTTGCCCATTTTTTTTTTTTTTGAAGCCCAAAGTGACTGAGAGTATTTATGTCTATCCCACTAAAAGGTGGATGGCTCAAGCCCAGAACCTATCAATTTAGGATTCAGCTTGCTAAGCATTATGCAACAATGTCTTCCAGATGCAAATTTCAAATCAACAAGAATACCTAAAACTAGTACAGATTGTAAGGAATGTTAAAGATTCAAAAGAATTCTTAAAAGATTGTACCATCAGGTGAACATAAGCATGATTGTAAAACTTACCACAAAGTAAATAGGTAAGGTTGTTGATGGGTTGAAGCCTGACTCCAAGATTTTTGGAAACACTTTGTCTTTCCAAAGCTCCACTGCTAGCAACTCATGAATCAGAACAGGGATCTGTTTGCAAGAAAAGCAATCAAGGTAAGCTAAGTAAAGTCAGCAATGGAGCTGTGCAACTAATCTGGCTGGAGCTCATCCTTGCTTTGAAATTCCAAGCATTAAATGGTTGAGAGTATTTATGGTATGCTTGTTACCTCAGGTTATTCCTCTTCCCCTATTTTTTATCCCAGCCTTTAACTCAAAAGAGTGACTAACAACTGATTTCTCCTTACAGGGTTGTAATATACCTTTGTATACAAAATTAGCACGACTACTATGGTTATTCCCTAGATAAAACATTCTTTGTTTGTATTATAATTATGTGCAGTTTGCACTTAAAAATAGATTTATTCATAGCATGTGAGAGTGCAAAAAAAATTATACCATTGAGTTGCTTAATAAACTTTGTTCTTAAAAAAGAAAGCTTGCCTTGTCCGAATGTTTGGAGCAAGAAAAGCCCCACTAGAGGAAAGATACAGTATCACCCCTGAATCAAACATGAAGGTTATGAGAATAAAGGAAATGATCACCAACTAAAGAAGCTCATGATTGTTATACAAACTCTTCTTGTCAGTGTCTTAGGGAATGTATACAAAACAGTATGGAGAATATGCATACTGATGTTAGGGCGTAAGGAGGACATGACAGAGAGGAGGCGAGAATGAAGTGACTTGCCCATTAGATCACAAACATTGGCTAGCCCTGGTCTCAAACATAAGGTTTTAAATCAGGTTGTGATCATAATACTGACACAATCCATTCCCCAGTCTGCCAAGAGTGCACAGTTGCAACTAATTTGCAAGGAAATATGTAGCAGCTTGAGGGGGGAATTAGCATTCAGCAGCAGATCCTGGAAGTTGAAGGTCAACATCTAAAAGTCTGGAACTCATGAGTGTGTGCTTGCAGTAGTGCCTCTGGCTCAAGTAACAGCTATTCATGAAATGCTATGATTCTTACAAATATACATCATACAAATGTATAATAACATATTCATGAAACTAATTATTTATTAATTATCAAAGTAATTATTTTTTACCAATTTAATATTATTTGTTATAAACAAATGCTATGAATAAATTCAGTTGATTTTGAGTGGGTACCTTTTCCAAGGTTATCAGCAGTTCCTTGATAAATTCATCTGCCTGCGACGAAGCACTTATAATGGCCTGTTAAACAAATAAAACAAGAATCTTTAGCAAGCCCTTAGGTTTTCATCTAATTTTGCACAATTTACAGGTATTTAACAGATGTTTTACCCAATAATGATTTGCCTAAGGGCTATCAACTAAGCACACAATCTCACCTGCATGTTAAGTTTTTCTATGTATTCATGTTGACTCATCCATCTGTAAAAATAAGAAGGACAAATTAGTTAATAATATATATACCTTCCTATAGCAACAAGTCTTACTAAAAAAATTGAGTGATCAAAATCTGAAGTAAAGTGCACAAAGCTCTTAAATAAAACTTAATATAAGCTCACTTTGGACTTCCTATTTCCTTCAAAGAATAAGTTTTTAGCTCCTCTATGTACAATTCTGCCTCTGAAGCTAACAAAACTTGCTTCGTTTCCAAGTTCGAGTTGCCCGCCATTTTGTTTTGAAAATTGCCGTCATGGAAATACCGCTGGAAGACAGCAATCTTCTGCGGGCACCAACATGGTCCAACATGGCAGACCAGACAGAAAGGTCGAAGGAAGAACATAACACCAGTGCTGCCAAGGTAAGGATTCCCGCGGTTATTTTTTAGTCCGAGGAGATTTTTAACTTCTAACTTGCATCTTTTATTATATGAAAATTAACCTATTATGTTCTTATTGATAAAATTTGTTAAGAACACCAAGCACTCAGAAAAACAGGGTGCCTCAAAGTGTGATATAATTTTGAGGCGCAGATGCCGTGGCATTCGTCTGTATAAAAAGATACTTAGCTCTCCTCAGTCATCTACAGAGCTAAATCTGAACGTTTCGTTATCCCTCATGATAGGCATATCACTTTTTGTTTGTGTGTGTGATCGAGACTTATTCAGTTAACCTTTCAACCCTTTAGACTGATTGGCGTCTGTAATATCCTTACAGTATCACCCTTGAATCAAATGCAAAGGTGATGAGAATAAAGGAAATTATCACCAGTTTGGTCAGTTACTGATTGTCAAATAAATTCTCCTTGTCTGTGCGAGAGGAAACGTTAAGAGAACAGTGTGGAGAATATTAATATCAAATAAATGTTAAGGTTTAGCTAAGGGTGAAACTCGGGTGCAGTCCTTGTTGTCTGGACATACCTGTGTCATTCACTGGTTAACATCTTCATTCGCATCATTTTGAATTTCCTAATTTGTTATGGAATATTTGTTACTCAAGGAACTTATCTAGCTCTGGAAACCACCCAGCATTCCTTTTCATGTCTTAAATGAACTGAAAAGTTTCCCTTAAAGTTATGGGCCTGAAAAGATCAGAAGAGTTAATAAATAAGTTAATGAATTTAAAATGAAGAGGAAGGAAAAAGGTGATCTGTAATTTAAAAAAATTCAGTGATAGGCAGATAAATTTTCTCTTAGATCTTTGCTTTAGTTACTGAAAAAAAAAAGAAACAGTCTGAAAGAATTGTTAGCACTGTTATTCTCTTTAAGGTGAATTGTCTCTCATGTTGTAGATACTTTTTTATTCACAAGCATTATATAAAAAAATATCTTTGATAATTTGCATTTCATTTTCCACATGTTGTCTCATAGACTCAAGAACTTTTGAAACGGTTCTCCAGTACTGTTTTTGCATTTGACACATCTCCAGACACGAGATACGTACGATGCGACTTTCCACAGTGCAAGCAGCATTCAGAAGCCTTGCAAGGTATTGTCCAAAACAGGACTACATTACTTACAAAGATTAACACCCATTAACCCTTTGACCTTTGACATTGACTAACAACTAATTTCTCCTTACAATATCACCCTTGAATCAAACATTTAGGTTATGAGACTAAAGGTAACAATGACCAACTAAAGAAGCTCTTGATTGTTGAACAAATTCTCCTCTTCAGCACCTTAGCAAATGTATAGAGAACAGTATAGAGAATATGCATACTGACGTTAAGTGTAAAAAGTTAAAGGTTTGTTGGGTAGGGGTATAGTTAGTTGCTTGGACGCGATAGATGAATTTGTTAAGATTCTAGAGTAAAATCTGCAAAACATCCTAGATTGGATCCTATTTGTTTCTTTCATAGTTAAAATCACTTTACCTGAAATTTTAGCCATTTATCTTCTAGGGAAGCCTTGCTGGCTCCTCAATACCATAAAGAATGTAAAAGTTCTAGAAAGACATGTTGGCAAAGAAGTTCATCATTATATGAAAGAAAAGGATTCTGGAACTGATGATGAATTCAGCAACTCTCATCTTGTTGATAGCAATGATTTTATCGAGAGGCAATGGTTACCTGAAGGCGTCAGAAAGGTATGGCTATAATTAAGAAAAATATTTAATATTTAATATTTAATACCATTAGTTGACACAAATAATTAGTTTAAACAATTTAACCCTTTAACCACTTCACTCCTCAAGGTGACCAAAAGAGGTTTTCCGCAATCAATATCAATACATTTCCAAGCAAAAAAATTGAAAAGAAGAAAGGAAAAGATCAACCAGGCAATATTGTTTGATTTAATACTAAATTATTGGAGCTTAAGTTGTAAGAGATGTATGGCAATAAATGTAGAGAATGAATGAAATGATTATGTAAATTGTGAGATTGCAAGGGTTAACCCCCTCATGTTAAAGCATGTAACATTTCCTTGCAATATGTATATGTTATCTACGGGGCAGGAGGCCAGTATGGGAAAAAACTGTGCTAAGGTCTCCAGTAAGACCGACGGCGCAGTTATTTTCCCATACAGACCGACCTAGACCAGTAAATAACTTACTATTTATTTTTTTCTGCTGGTTGGCTTTTTTCTGTTTTTCTGTGCAAAAAAAGACATCTAGACTGTATTGTAAAGAACTAGACTAGGTACAAGCACACTATTAGCCAATCAAATTTGAGGATTTACAATTCTGGCCTGCTGAAATGCTTCAGAAACAAAAATACAATATGTTATCTTGGAAACAGATGATTACTCAGTAGTAATAAGCAGTAATGCATGTAGATCATGAGTGATGTGAAAATGTGTTAAGATTAAAATTTAAACACCTTTCATTAGTTTAGCCTTTCATTCATTACTTTTATTTTTTTATGCAGTGTGTTCAAACTTATTTTCTATCTTTCGTATGGGATAGCTTATCTTTTGACATCTCTCTAGGTGCTTGCAGTGTTTAATTTAAAAGACCCGCAGTCCCAGTTTGGTGATTGGATTTCCTTGTTTCTGAAAGCTGCTCTTCTGGCTGAAGGTATGTGATGCCAAAATATGGGGTGAGGTGTTATATACTAACAGTGTAGTTTAGTATTATCAACTGAGTTGATAAAGTAAGTTGGCCACTGTTAGCCTTTCGTCATCACTCTGAGGAAGGGCTTATGCTCAAAATGTCAGCTTCAAAACTCTTTACAGTGGCCAATTTACGTTAGCGACTCAGTTGATAATACTAAATTACCTTGTTATACTCTCCCACAGACTCAGCACCACAGTTTCTTAAGAAACTTACCCTCTGTTATATATTAAGTCCATTCTTGAAGGTTTATTTTTGTAAACTATAGTTTCAGTAAAAACACAAATGCAATATTTGTTCATCACTGAACACTTTTGATGGTTAATGATAAGACACATTGTAAACCAGTGAGCAGCGTGCTGGACTCTACCTGTGGCTACTTAGAGGCAAATAATCAGGCAAGAGGGAAATAAAATAGTGGTTTCACTTTGACATGAAAGTTTAGTAAATGGGTGAGAGCCCTGCCTCTCTCACTTGTCAATTAAACTTTTGCATCAAACTACAACTGCTGTTTAATCTTGGTCTTGCCTGCTGACCTGCCTATGGATCTCTGAAGATGTGTGGCCTTCAGATGTAAAGGTTTTGAATCAAGCCCTGGCAAGGGTTATAACAAGTGGTGTGTTCTCAGGCAGGGTTCTTAGGCATTTACCTCTTACATTGTCTTTCTTGACTTCCGCTCAGGAAGGTTAATGGGACCAGTTAACTGTCTGTGAATCTTCACGATTTTCTGGGAAGAAAGAAACCTGTAATAAACTTGCATCTCATTAAGGAACAGTTGCTGTTGAAGTAGTGATAAGTGTTATCACTTCACTCCACCATTTCTGAGACAGACTCTTGTTGCTACATGTATGTACTATAGTCTTGTATGTAGACTTTACTTATAGTTATTGATGTTAGTTGGTCAATCATCCAGGGACACACAACAACAATTGTGTGGTCATAACTCAGAACTTTGTGAGTCGTCAAGAACTAATGGAATCCATTACAAAGCTGTCATTCTTGAAAAGTCACTGGCCAACAGGTAACAATCACTGAGTGTAAAAGTTGCTTCTATTAATCATTCAGCCATTTATTAATTATTTTGATTGGTAAAACCATGATTTAAATTTTAAAAAATGCATTAACAATATTTTTGAAACATGAATGAAAGACAGTTGCATTGTACAGGCTGAGATCACTTATGAGTAACAAGTAAATTCCATGTCGCTATGGGTCTGTACCGTAATAGATCACTGATGATCTTAAAATGTGGTAAGAACAATACAGGCACACTCAGCTGTGCCATGTGTGCCACTTTTGTTTTGTACCACATTTCCATGTTGTATGTGAAGTATTACTGGGCAGATGCATGACAACATGGAATCATAATATTAACAAAAAAGGGTTCTTTCCCTCTTTAAAGCAACCACCTTTGATATCAATTATCATCACATATGCCAATTCTTTTAAAATTAAACACCTAACAACCCCAGCTTGATGGTTTAAGGGTTCTTTACCTTGGTAAAGCAACCACTTTTCATGCTAATTATTGTCACATATGCCAATTCTTTTAAATTAAACACCTAACAACCCTGATTTGATGGTATTAAAAAAATTTCATCAATAAGAAATATTGGCTATTTAAATTTGGCACTTGATATAAAATGTGAGCTTCTCTTACAGTTGAAGTTGTTGCAGTATTGAGCTGCCACTCAAGTTGTCAAGGTCAAGTTTTTTCATGCACTCCATTTGCCATTGGAAAAGAAAGTGGATTCGAAGAATTTTGTTCTCTTCACGACTTTGTAATGGCCTGCCAGACAATGCTGGAAGATGCTCTGATGGCTACACACATCTCATCTTGTTTCACATTGAAATTAGATTGTTCTCATGCAGTAAGTTTCTTTCTTATTAATGATTGAAGAACGGGAGACACTGGATAAAGAAATCACTCCATTTCGTCATGGTGACGAGTTGATGCAGAAATTTGCTTTAGGTCGAGAAAAATCTTCACTCTTGTGACAGCTTTCAAACCTCAACAGAGTTAGACAAGTTAAACTTGGTTTGAATTTGTGCAATGTTTGCTATGTTAAAATGTGTCCAGAGACATCTTTCTGTGGTGGTAAGCATAGAATCTGTTTCAAAGTAGTTGATTGATCCTTTAAGAGTCCCAGCCTTTATGCTTGGAAAGTAGAAATTTAACTCACTAGAGTTTGTTCTAGAGGAAGGCTACGGTGCATTGTTCCTTAATTTCTCAAATCATCCTTCGGTATTCCAGATTACTAATCTTTAGTGTGTACAAATCTCGATGAATTTAGGATTGGCCTGTGGATGCTGATTGGCTGAAGACCAAACTTCGTTCCATTCTTTGCGGCAGTACAAAAGAAGTTTACGAGACTGGTTCCCAAGTTGCTGATCTTCATTTGATGCTCTCGACCATGGTTTGCAGGAAAACGACAGGCACATGTGGTACACGACTGAAGGATACCGTGAACAGAGCATGCACCGAGGGATTTCCAGATCTAGCACGGGAGATGGGATTAGGGTTCTTAGGCTGTGATAATGTCGAGGAAAGGCTTTCAACAGAAGGCAAAGAAGATCAGGTACCACTGTTGTCATATTTTTTTATTGGTTTTGCATTAATTCACTTCGTGATTGGTCCAGAAAACTCGCACCATTTTCTCCGCCAATCAGATGCAAAACTAATACCAGCCGCACCTTGGCCTCTCGCGTTGTCCCGCTGTTCGAGAAGATTGCTTTTTTTAACTTTGAGTTCTCTTTAGTTCGTAGTAGTACTTTCCCACGCTCTGATTGGATTGGTTATTGGGATTATTTTGGTTTTAGTTTTACCAAATTGAATCAAGAAGCGCTGCAACACGGTTGGCAAAGGAGGACCTCGAAGAAATGAAGGCAGAGTTTCCTCGAGTTATTCGGAAAAAATTCTTAGGCGATCTTGGCAGGCAGCGCTATGTGGCGGCAGATGACTTTTAGCGCAAAAACAAAATGAAAATTTTCGATTCGGGACATAACGTTTCCGGTATTTTTATGTCGCAGGAAAACCGGCAACATCTTGTCGGGACCGTAGAAATGTTGGGTGTAAAATGTTTTTGCCTGCCATTTTACATGTTATCGATTGTTACTGCTGGCCTTTGGTACCTTATCTTTTTAACTATATTCCTTTTTACAAGAATTACTTGCTCGTATCTTTTTTGTCACCCATTTCTTCTAGGTCACTCCTCCTGGTTTGGTCATGTCATCCATGAGAGTCGTTTTTCTTGTCGAGGATGACTTTCCTTCTGCATCAAACCGAGAAGCTTACAATTCCTGGCAGTTTGGATCACATATTGCCTTGGCTGATGCTATTGTTGCAAATCTTCGAATGCGCAAAGCTTCGGACGTGAAATTCGAACATATGGTTTTCCAATTGAAAGGAGATGAAGTCCACCTCTTGCAAGAGTCACTGAAGAATTACTTTAATCATTTGCCCGAAGATGCTCTCAAGGTATTCTTCGTGGCAATAGGGCCCATGTTTTCCCGGCCAAACTTGGACCTTATCAGGCTGATAAAGGACTGGAGCGATCTCAGAACACGTGATGTTTGTTATGGGATTCACTTTCAACATGTTACAGCTATGCAGGCCTTTGTAATGAAGAATAAGCTCAAAGAGGTTCTGGGCAATAGCGAAAAAATGTCTGGTAGCGGACATCTTGCGGTGACAGGGCTTGTCGAAGATGACAACAGAGACTGCTCTTCCTCATTCCCAGTACTTCTCTACATGATTCATCTTGCCATTGGGGAGAACGGGAACCGATTAGCTGGGAAAGGAATTCCCTCAGGTGAGAAATTAGTAACCATTTCAATTCAGTGTCGTGAAATCAAAACTAAAGTGACCAACGAAAGATTACAACGAATCGTAGATTAAAGATTACAACGAATCGTAGAGGTGTTTTCAAAACATTTTTGGTGACCAACCGTAACAAGTAAAAGTAACCAGTGGGAAACGGGTGCTTCAGAGGGAAAATCTCGGCTCCACTGCACAACAGACAGCTTAAATATCGAACCATTAGGGTTACTTTGCACGGTTAGGCCGAGCACCAGCGTACAGAATATTAGAAAGAACACACCTGTTAATCTCTTCCTCTCGCATCAATTCCCATTTTACGGATCGTTTTTCTTTCCAGTTTTGATCTATATACGGTTACATGCGAGAGTAACTAAAAAATAAAGTTTATTTCATATTAAGACCAGTAAAATACTGTTTTGTCGTGTTAAAGTAGCTGAAGAAAACACCAGTTGCTATTGCCTCTGGAGGACACTGGTCTTACGCTCGATTTTGACTTAGATCCTTGTCAAGGACTCTCAACGTCTGCTATGTAACAGTGTTAAATATTGTAGAACTTTGTACATTTTTAGCCGTGTACAGCAAAAGGCCAGTTGGACATGGTTTGTCATCTTGGACGTTGGAAGAAGTGTACATGGAAACTTGCCACGTGTTGTCAGGCTTGAGCAGAAAGTGTGGAATGCATTTGCTATCAGCGGCGCCAACGCCTGTAGAGTCGAATTCTACGATTGAAAAATCTGGGAAAGCTTACCACGTGACTTCCAGTGAAGGAAACGAGGTGGAATCTGTTCACGAGAAAGGAGCTTCCACTTATATGTCCAAAAATGAAAGCCAACCCCCAGCGCGCAATCTAGAGTCAGATTCTTCCTCTTGCCTAACATTACCTTCAGTGGTATGCACGTCTATGATAGACGAAAGCGCTTGTGAATCGTTTCACGACAATTTTGGGAATGAAGTGTCAAGCAATGTGCTTACTACAGAAGTGAAGGAGCAAGGCAGTACGACAGGGCAGTGTGAGACACCTACAACTTCCAGTGTAGGGGGAAATGAAGATAAAGTTGTACTCAGCTCTGGTTGTAACACTTTAACTTGCATTGAGGCGTCAGCTGATGAAGCGTTTCACGATAAATCCCCTTCATGTGACGGTAAAATTATAGCAGCTTCAAGCTTGCCAACAGGGATCAACCACAACGATAAGCCTTTGGTTGAAAACGTTCCCATTATTGAAGGACATGATCTTGGTGATGTCACGAGTCACGACATTTCATCATCAGCTTTAAACTCTTTGTCATCAACTAATACGCCTAGAAAAGATTCAGGATCGTCAAAGGAAAAAGATGGCAACTTTATGACAGATCATAAAAAGCATAGGCTTGTCGAGGAACCAAATGACGCGACGCTTTTGGAGAATTCACCTTCAACGTTCAGATTATCTGCGACCGTACACAAGAATGCGTGGTCCAAAGAGGAGGAAGCAGACAATGCTTTGTGTCACAATGGAATAGAATCCATGATTTGCAAGGATGCATGTATAGCTATTAGCCCTACATCAGGCACGAGCCAAGATGGGGAGGGCAAGAGTATAACAGAGGAGAAAGGGGAAGTGGAGCTTATTGACAATGAGAATGTCTTGCGTACGAATTCAGAAGGTGTGATGGGTTGCGACAAACTGAGTTCAGCCGTTATCTCGGTTGGGGTTGGTGTAAATTTAGAAGAGGTGTCCAAGGATGCAGAAGGTACAATGTACAGAGCTGAGGATGGGCCTCGTCTTGAGAATCTGATGTCAATCACCAGTTCTGATGCTACAAGCGTGAGCATGTCGATGGCTGAAGGAAGCTCCATGGAATCTGTGGTCGATGAAAATGCCACCACGATCCCTTCCCCATGCTCTGGAAAATGTGGGGCAGATGATCATACAATTCAGGAGAAGAGAAAGAAGAAGAAGAAGAATAAAAACAAGAAAAACAAGAAAAATAACAGGAGTAAGTCATCGGTAACCGTCAGTGATACAAGTTCCCGCACTCTGCCAAATGGAGTGCAAATGAAGATCTCATACCGATCATGGCTTCAGAATTTTACGGATTATTGTAAAGGAAGTCATGATGTGGAACACACAGAGGTCAAAACTGACGGATGTAACTTGAAATACTCTTTAAATATGGAAGATGTTTGTGATTATGCCACCAATGCTGGTGAAAACGCAGGGGGAGAAGGCAGTTGTGGAAGGAAAAGGTCTCTATCAACTGAGGAAGTTTGTGACGTAGCTCAAAGTTCGACGAAGAGAACAAAAAGTGAATCTGATTCTGATTGCAAGGGAACGAGTGAAGATGAAAGATCCATTGGCACTAAATGGGATAAAAGCGACGATTTGCCGTTGATGGCAAATGTTGATGAAGTTCTTGTGTATCATTACATTCTTGACTTGTCTGTGGAATTTAACGAAAAAAGTATGAAAGGAAACATAGTGTTATTTCTTGAACCTCGCAACGAAGAGGTCACTAAAAAGCAATTTCAAATGACGTTAGACAGTACCTTAGTGAACATTGAATCTGTGAGCGAAGTTGTTCTTCCAGATGATTTCCAAGTAACATTTTGCCGACATAAACAAAGCGGCCTCTTGTCACACGAAACAACTTCATCCGAGGTACCACTCGGCTTCTTAGGGAACATTCTCGGCGATAAATCCCACACGCCCTTGCCGTTTAAGGGCCTGTCGTATTCAGTGTATGGTTGGTGTGTACAGATTTCGAAACCTGAAGCAACTGGCAAGGCGTGGCCCAGATGTGTCTGGATTAAATACCACACTAGTCCAGAAGGATCGTCATTGACTTGGGCGACTGACCAAGATGGCAAGTAAGTGAGGCGTCGTCCTCGACCAGGGACGGGTGGTTCAAAGCTGGGTTAAGACTACCCAGGATTAGTGTAAAATCTGACTTCAGATCTGAAAGCTTCAATAGAAAATTCCGTATAATTCTTTCTGCCTACAGTTTGATGAATGGATGCTATAGAAAGAGTGAAGAAAGTTATCTGAAACAGGCTTTGGAACAAACGAATATAGAGACCCAGTTATCAATTGAACCCTTAGGTAGCGCCAATCGGCCTTCGAACAACTGGGCCCTTATTCCTAGTTGTAACTTTTTAACTTCTGCATATGATATAAATTCGTTATCTAGAAAACAGTTTAACAGAGTAAACGAACGATCAGTTAGTTGGTGAAATCCTGTCTTGATACAACGCCGAACGCTCCCCATTAATTTGTGAGGAAATTTAGAATGGCCTGGAAATTTCCAAGAAATTGAATGATTTCAAATTGTATTTTTTTCTGTGCACCAGGCCTTCTGTCTACTCACCCGGTGCGTACATCAATAATCGTTCTCTGATGCCATGTCAGGAGCCTCCGATTGCCATGTCAACATGGCAGGCATCGATCCACGTGCCGGAGGACTGTGTTGTGTTAATGAGTGGGAACCAGTTTGTTGGGAAAACCACCCGGAATGATACTCAAGGTAAGACTTCAATTCTTTCATTTTCTGGTCGGTAAGGATGGAGAAGATTGAAACGGATTGCAGGCGACTAACTTGAAATCTTGATAGACGATAGATGGAAAAATCGTGAGGTAGCTAAATGGCGCGTATATGTCGATCAGTAAATGCACGGCCGCTAGAAACAGAGATATTGGTCTCCCTAATTCGGCGAATGGGAGGCATTTGTCAAAAGCTATTCGAAGTGTCATTGGTTTTCCTTTACTGCCTCAGTGATCGGCCAAAAATGTTAGTGCCGTTTGATCAATCAGATTGCGTTTTGACGAAATTATGGACTCGACTTATACTCTGGATGGGAATTTAAATTGCAGAAGTCGTCGGAGAGAGTCGTGAAACTACTGCTCATTTGTTCCTAAAATCATACCCAAGTGTTTAACAAAAATCGGCATCGTGGATTTTCTAGAAGAAACCTTTTTTTTTTTTTGTATCATGTTGCAGTGACCTACCACTATGAGATGGATTGTCCACTGCCTTGCTCAACTCTGGCCTTGGCTGTGGGGTGGTGGGAGTGCCGGCTATCTAGAACCGCCGACACTAAAAACGGTGATAATCCCAATGTGCCGGTCACGTGTCGTTTGTTTGCTCCGCCCAGTTTGATTGACAGGGCGGCAGAGGAGTTGCTAGAATACGCGCCTAAATTTCTAGAAGCTTCCTGCGAGTTGTTAGGTCCTTATCCATTCAGACGGTTGGACATGTTGGTTTTGCCAAAGTGTTTCGCTTGCATGGGACTCAAAAGGTTGGTTTATATTCAGTTCGTTCTCGTTTTCAAGATCCGCTCTTTCGTTCCAGACCAGTTGCTCATAACTAGTTCAAAATTCCTCTTTCTTTTATGTCGTCCAAAACCTTAACCTTGGAAATCAATCCAAGGTGACTTTCATCTCTTTTTTTTTTGTCTTTTAGTCCCAATCTGGTGTTTCTGTCCCAGTCCCTTCTTTCTGGTGATGCGAGCATGCGCGTGCGACTGGCACATGAGATCTCGCACGCCTGGTTCGGGCTCCTGGTTGGCGCCAAGGACTGGAGCGAAGAATGGCTTTCAGAGGGGTTCGCCACGTTCATAGAAGAGAAGATTCAATCAAAGGCTGAGAGGGTACGTGGACAGTTCGTGTTTCTTACGCAAAATAAGTAAAAATAAATTCCCGACATTGATAGTGGACAACTATTCACCGAAGTGGAGGTGGTGGAAATTTGCCGAGACACGAAGCGGTGAATTTTTACCGCTTTCATTTACGCTTGACCGAAACCTTAACTTTTAGACGATAAGATTGGAGACTAACAATTACTTACGTCCATACTTAACCTTTTAACTTCCAGAAGTTATTAACATGTAACTTATGTACATTATAAGAGAGAGTGTACTGGAGAGAGGCCGAGTGGTAAGGGCACTGGTGGGATCCTGGGTTCAAGTCTTCCTCTCTGCTACTCACTGAATTTTATCTTTGTTGCCCTGAGTTCTCCTTTCTGGCTACGCTTTGTAAAATGACCGGTTGGCCTGCTTTTAGGAACCAATCTCTCTTGCTAGTATGGATACTTGTTTTAATATTGGTATTTTTTCAGCGACCTCAAATGCCCCATATGGGCATGAAGACGCTATGCTTGCGTTTTTTTTTTAGCACTTGATGATGGTTTTGTGTGCGCTCGTTTGTGAGTTGCGAAGGTGCAAGTATCTCCCATCTCAAGCAGCCACTCATCGCTTCAGCGCACACAAAACTGCCAACTACGCAGGCTTTGAGACATAGTATTTTTGTAACCTGTGTTCTGCTGAATTTGGCGAATTTCTTTCTTCCGCAGTGGTCTAGGGATAAAGACAGATTTTTTCGAGAAATGAGGCAAATTCTCCGGCACAGATGTTTATTGTCTGAAATCAAGGAGTGTGATGACAGTCTCAAGTGTTTGAGGTAAGAAAATCGTAAAGAAGAAATATTTGGAGAGGCAAATAACAGTGACTTACAAATGAAGATTTAGGTAAGACTTATTTGGAGAGGTAACTTGGGAAAATATAACAACTGCGTTGACTAGCATTACAAATGAAGATTTAGGCACCTTGCTCTAAATGCTGTAACCAAAACCAAGGAATCGTTGAAATGCAGAATTCAAGACAAGCCTATAATTTTGCATGTAAAGCTAACTAAATGGGATGTTTTCTTTTCGTTTCAGGCCCAAAGTCGCCAAACCGAAATCTGGTAAGAGCCTTTCCTTTTGATTATGGTAACAACTGACTCTAACAACAAATGAATCTGTTATTGTTCACAAAAAGAGCTATTACAATAAGATTATGAGAAAAGAATACGCAGTTAATCGGAAAGTTTTGAACCGTGAGGTTTCCAAGCTAGCCCCTACTTATTTAAAGTCAGTTTTTTTTTTATCAACAATAGCACTGAGAGAACAGACAAAAAACCAGGGTAATCATCAACTCAGTTGATAACGTAAATTGGTCACCGTAAAGAGTTTCAAAGCTGACGTTTCGTGTGTTAGCTCTTCGTCAGAGCGAATGACGTTAAACTTTCGCCCTGACGAAGGGCTAACGCTCGAAACGTCGGCTTTGAAACTCTTTATGGTGGCCAATCTACGTTTTCAACTCAGTTGATAATATTAAATTACCTCGTTATACTCTCCCACCGACTCAGCACTATCGTTTCTTTAGAAACTTACCTCCGTTATTAAAAAAACTGTCTAACTTTTAAAGTAGCCCCATAAACGCTTGTTTTTATGATTCACAGCTATTTCAGCAGCCGAAGCAGTTAAGAGGAGCTCGCGTCAGTCTGATTCTGTGTCTATCAAACCTCACACTGTGGTCCAGTTCGGTCAAATCTGCTCCAGAAAATGGACACAAGTTCATTACCTCAAGGTGCGCCCTGTTTACTTATTGTTCATTTGTTCAGGGAGTGCAGGAAGCCGTGACATGGTGGCCTAATGGTCAGTGCACTGGACTCCGGATTGAGAAGTCCGGGTTCGAGACCAAGGCGGGTCGTTGTGTTATGTTCTTGGGTTAAACACATTGCCTTTCTCCACCCAGGAGTTCAACCCCTTCATCCTCAAAATCTCATCAGTAATCCACCTTACTGTCTGCTGTTCAATTCAGACGATTTGGTATAGGATCAATTCATAATCTCCTTTATTCTCATTATCTGTCTGACTGATATTGTAAGGAGAAATTCAGTCTTGGTCAGTCATGTCAGTCAAGGGTCAAATGGGTACGGCGAAATTTTGGGTTGGCGGAAGGGAACCTGTGATGAACCAGCCGTGAATTAACATGCCATCCTGGGGTAGTAAAGAATTCCTAGTCGCTATATGAAACGAAAATCGGGACAGGCTCCGGCACAAGTGCAGTCCTTACCACCCCATACAACCGCTCTACAACAGCGTAGGGCCGTATGATCATGTCTTATTTCCTTGCAGGGATACTTTTTACTTCATTGCATGGCGACTATGGTTGGACTTGAGGAATTCGATCAGTTTTTGTTTGAATATGTCCAACATTTCAGAGAGCAACTTGTTACTTCAGAGGTAAGTCCGGTGTTTATTTTTATGGCTTAAGATTCAATGAAGCTGCTGTGCCGCAATAGTGTAGATTCTCATCCCATTAAAAAGACTGTCGGAAGTAAATTTTGTTCATCGACTTAAGTATGAAATAAATTGGTTTGTCCAAGTATAAGGATGAATTCTGCCTCGGTGAACCTTTACTTGTATTAGTGCGCCAAGTCTATTGTCGATTAGTGTCCGGCATAGTTAGTATGAGTAATCTCGTTTGTCATGAAGTTTTGGTATATGGTGTAGATACACGGGTCAAACCTCCAGGCAATTTAGGTATGAAGTATTATAGTTTTCAAAGTTTTAGAGAATATTGACTTTTTAAGGAAAAATTAGTCAAATATAGCAGTATCCACAGGCAGCCCAGGTTGAATGACAGCAGTTTTTAATTTGCATATTACGAGTACCGTTTGAATTTGCATTTTACAAGGGAATTTGTGCCTCAAGTAAAAATTATGCAATAGAAATGACTATCTTAGCTTGCTTTTGAGTTATTTTTATAACTTTCTATGTAAAGTGAAAACAAATTGTTATAGGTGGTACAACTTGAAATCTAAGTTGGTATTGAAACGGCATCAGTCACAAAGAGATAGTTAAAGAAATAACTCAAAAGTAAAGTACGTCATTTTTTATATTTTTACTGAAGGCAGATTTTTAAGACACTCTTTTTTATTTGGATACATTCTCCTATAAATACATTCTCTCATAAAATCCAAATTCAAAACGGCTTTTGTGAAATGCAAATTCAAAACGACTCTTAAACATCCTTAACCGCCTGTGGGCTATCAAGACTTTCTATGAGGTGTTATTAATCGTTACTTTTTCATGACCATATAGGACTTTTTTGGCTTCTTTGTTGAAAGTTTTCCCGATGTACCAAGGTAAGACTCAAGAGCTTCTATCGTAACCGTTGAATAAAGCATCTCCCTTCGTTCTGTTTTTTTGTGATACTCTAGTAACTGTGAGCTTCTTTCTTGTTAAAGAGAAATGAAGGATAATTTTATGAGCGAATGGCTGGAAAGACCGGGATTACCCAAGGTGAGTTTGTTATGTAGCTAGGAACAAATAAGCGCAAGAATAGACACTGGCTCCCCAAACTGGCTGATGAAAAAACCTGATGATATTATTAGAACCGTTTAGCAGACAAAAACTATTCAGTCGCTTCGAGTAGACTGAGAGGGCTGTGAAGGTGCCAGCCACGAGAGATTTTTCGCACCTCTTGAGTGCTTTGTTTCTTTCGTCCTGGGTTTGGCGGGGAGGGAAAGGAAAGGAGGGGTATCTTATTGTACGGTAAAAATAATAAAGAAAAGGTAGAAAACATTAAACCTGTCAAGCTAAAAACTAAATCAACAATTTTGTAAGTGTCATTGTGTTTTGGAATAAGGAATCAGTGATTTAGAGAATTTTTTTCAAAGGCCAGAAAAAATGCCTAAGTCCTCAGGTAAAATGTAATTGGTAGTTTTTTTGAAAATTTACAAGTTCTTAATTATTCAGAATTCCAAGAGAAATTATTTGATTGTTTGTCAATAATATACATTATATTTCAGCGTTGTTTGTCGTTCGGGACTAATTGAAGTGTTTCCAGCCAATAGGAATGGTCAAAGTTTTGTATGCACGCTACTAGTCACACATTGAGTTTGTGAGAATATGAATGGATCACCAACTAAAGCTAAAGAGAAGCTCTTGATTGTTTGACATGTTCTCCTTGTCAGCATCTTAGTGAATGAATAGATAACAGTACGGAGAATATGCATACTGATGTTAGGGTGTAAAGGATTAATACTTAAACGGCCAGAGTTCTTATTTTTTTGTACCCAGTCTTTTCCGAAGAGGTTTGACAGCCCGGACAATGAACTTGTTTCACAAGTGGAAAACGAGGTATGTGCGCGGTTACCTAGCTCAGGAAAACTGTTGGTATTTATCACTTGATTCATTGCCGATTTCTAGTTGCTGATCTGGTGGAATTGTCGGATGTTTTTAGTTTCAGGTCTGGAAGAAACAAGACATGATTAACAAACGGAACAAGACGCTCAAATTGCGAAAGAGAAAGCAACCTCCCAGCTCCAATTTGGTGAGGGCTATTTTTTTTCCTGTAAATACAACAGCAGCCATTGTGTAGTACTTGTTCCGCTCTAAAAACGTCATAACCGTGGGTCGGTATTTTTTTCGGAACGATCCGAACCACGTGACCATAAAGTGAATGCAATTATTCCCCAGACGTACCCTTATTCCAACGATACTTTTTTAAAATCTAAATTTAGTGCGTGTTCCTGTGGTGCGATTATTTAGAGAACAACAGCTGATTGGTTAGTGATTCTGCGGCGAAATTTTAAGTTTTAATCTCTAGTCCGAACCGATCCGAAGAATCCCGAAGTCAAACGACGATGTAGTTCGGTTAATAATTGGTTAATATGACGGTTAATATAACGGTTTCTTTTCTTTCTTTTATTTTCGAATGTTAGGAAGTCGCTGAACAAGTTGTTTTGTTGCTGGAAAAACTTTTGGAGCGAGAGGCGATATCCCATAACACACTGCGTCAGTTGGACAAGTGTTACAACTTATCAAACGGAAATGCCGAGGTTCGTCAGTTATTTTTAGCGCTGTTTTCATTTAATTCTTCCCTGGAAGCCGTTTCTCGAATACAACGTCCAATTTTAACCACTCTAACAGTCTTTTTATGTTCTTTGTAGTTTCTCTGACCTTCACCTTGCGTAACTAAATTTATAGTTTAAATTAACTTCCAATCATGATAGTTGTGTTGAGCCTCCACCAACAGCCATTTCTCAACAGCTGCAACAGTACACGTTCCGAATGTCCTAAAAGGAACTCTGAGTAATCTGCCACTACAACGGCAATAAAAAACATAGCGAAACGAAGGTTTATGTAGCATGATATTCCTCAGCCCTTGGGTTTTAGGTGCATTGGTTATGACCGCGTGTTTTCATTTTGCAGATTCGACATCGCTGGTGTGAACTCGTGGTAAAACATAAGTAAGTGTGGCAAGTGTTCGCCGTTGATTTAATGATGGTTGGAGTGCCTTTCAAATGAGTATCGTAAAAACCAAAAAGATTAAATCGGCTAGTGATGCCAAAGTATTAAATATCATAAGAAACCGATGAGAACTCAAAGGGAGTGGTGCACCGTAGACAGCGTGAAGTTTGGAGAAACGTGAGCGACCGCGTCGCATTTGCCGTACTCTTACATCTGATTGGTTGAGAGGGTGACGCGATTTCTTTTTGTCCAATCACGACGGACTAAATTGCAATGGTTTTAGTTTTGCATCTGATTGGTCGAGAGTCTGGTGCGAGTTTTCTAGACCAATCAAAGCACGAACGGAAGCAAAACAAACATACTTGCTCTTACTTAAAATAGTTATTTCCCTGTTTTCTCGTTATAGTTTCACTCCAGGGTTACCAGATGTAAGGAGATTTTTGATAGAGGATCAGGTAGGTAAAAAAGCTCAAAATAGAAATTTTCTTTCTTGAATTTTTGGAAATCTCCTGTTATTGGAATTAGGAGTATATTAAAACAGTTGATCGCGTTGAAGGCGCGCTCTAATTGGCTGCTTAAACTCCAAATATCCTTTGCTCTACACTTCCGAGCAACTCGCGTAGGATTTGCACCTGAAAATTTAACAAATCGACAGTGGCTTAGCGTAGTCTGTAATCTTTTCGGAAAACGATATTCGTCATCACAATGGTCAAACTTTTGTGGACTCACGACGCGAAGCCGAGTGAGTCCGCAACAAATTATTTTTTTTACCACAGTATTGACGCCAAATAAAACGATTATTTTAGTGCGTGACACGTTGACGCAAGCAGTGTCGTATGAACTCTTATCGACAACGGCAAGTTGGCCGATCAGATTGCGATGTTACTGCCAATTTTGGTATTTTTGATCATTGGAGGGATAAATGAGTTAAAATCATCTTTTGCGTTTTATTATCTAACTGTTTTAGTATGCACTGAAATAACTATTTACCACAGTGTCGGTGACTACCCGGGATTCTGTTTATGCGTAATTCAAGTTCCAACTTAGAGAGGCAATGAGGAGTATTTAGGCTTCAACAATGCTCCATCATGTTTTATCCTCATTTGTAGGGAATGGGTATCTACCTTTTTGGTGAATTGATCATTTCTCAGCAACCCAGACAACGCGCCTTGGTGGATGACGTTCTGGCAGAAATCGGCCCCGAGATGGACAGGTGTACTTATCGAACAGTAAAGGACATGTTGGAGGGAAACGACTAACGGCCTGGGAACCACTTGTGTGAGCTTGGCGTGACAATTTTACTGAGGTCCAATTGAGAATATCGCGCTACACCCATATTTATCGTACGTTGTATTGTGTGACGGCACGAATCAAGGTTTCAATCGAAATTTATCAGGGAAATAAGAATGTCATGTCACTTATCTGGTCGTACCTCACTGGGAAAACGATTGAACATGACGTTAAGCTTATCCGTGTTAAATTCAGCAAATAATTTTTCTACGATTTCTGGATGTGATCATCCGAAGTGATCTCCTGTTGCTATAAATTAAGTGTATTTATAACGAGAATGACGAGAATAAAGACTCAAGAAGAGATGATCATCTCCTTGTAAGTCATTGATGTGTGTATTAATTCATGGTAGCGTTCAACATGCATGTACTTTTTTGATACTTCAGAACTTTGCAAACTGTTTCTCGTATAAGTTAAAACCCTATCAACTTTTTTTGAAAAGTCTAGTTCTTGTAAATTTCCTCTGCAGGAACTCTGAATATGCTTCAATAACATGAATATCATCAAAGATGTTGCAACATCTACTCCAGTTCTAAAAAATATGACTCCAATCAAACTCAGTGTACTCAAAATGCAAATGATTGTTTTAGTTAAATAGACCGACCAACACATTGCATTTCAATTGTCTTTGTTGATGCATGTCTCCTTTAGCGTTACAGAAAAAGAGAACAAATTTCAGATTAGAAATGTCATTCATCCTCCCCTCACTGTTCCAGTAAACAGAATCCTACACACTTGAACTCCTACAAGTGACCCAGACAGAATCTTTCCTTTCGATATCAAAAAAACAAGTCATGAAAATATTAATCAGGAGATTGCTAGTTGATCCAATAACAAATTCTATTAGCAGACAGCAAGTAAAATTACTTGTGAGATCTTAAGGGTGAAAAGGTTAACACCGTCACTAAAAACATTCTCTGATAATAAACACAATCACACATTTTCTTTCAGAAGTTTAATTTGCTATGTTCAATTTTCACTGAATATTTTTTACACAGACTCCTGCACAGGTGGCTCGAAGCTGTCGCGCTCAATCTTGGTGCCACTCTCATCTGTGGTGCTGTGGCTTGCTCCCTCGCCATGCATCTCCATTAACTTGCCAACTGAAAGGAAAAAAGTATAGGACATGTTTAATCTTAAACCATTACCACCAAATAAGACCAGTTGCCTTTTCTTTCCACTTGTTGTGAGATGTTGTTGCACTGAAAGTTAAAACTAGAGTGACCTGTACTGTACTATGTGCACATCCTACTATTGCAAGTTGAAAATTTTTTTCCACAAAGTACATCATCTAGCATTTACTTTTGACATTGTTACAAACTTAAAAGAGTCATAATGTTGAGCCTGCCATGAGCAACATCCAGTTTTACTTAACATGAAATAAATCATGGTTCTTGTTACTAATAATACCAGAAGATCTCCTGTTTTTATTTCTCAGTGCAGCTACTAGTGCTGGGGCAACTGGAAGGCCTTCATCAAAATACAGATTCCACTACTATCAAATTCAGTTCATCAATTCCGCCAATACTTGATATACAGGTTTTTTCAGGGGGTCTTTGCTACAACTACAACTGACCATGCAAGAGGTGAGGTGGTGCATGTTAAAAATCCCTTTACATTGTCTCATGTCTTGGTTACCCAGGTTTTAATGGATGCAGTGTTAAAAACTAATACACATCATACTATTTTAATGAACCTTGTAAAGTAATAGAGAGCAAACTTACGATCAAATTTGGGTTTCTTGAGAACCTTAACCTTTCTGATGAATACATCGTGGAGAGGGTAGATGGACTGACATGCCTTCTCTATGTCTCGGCCAAATGCATCTGGGATTCTGCAAATGGAAACAACAATTCAATAAGATTCTGTAAACACTGGCTCCAACTTTGTCCCAAAATTTGCATACTCTCCAAGAACATCAGAGAGATGCACTGTGAATTTCCATACACTAACACAATTAACAATCAATTAAAATTGAATTTTATTTTAGAAAACCATTAGACCACACTTTTTAATTGGTTTACCGACCTAATAACCCACACAGGATGTTGGAAGAACTCTCTAAAAGTTTGTAAACCACTTGCTTCTGAACTCATGATCTTTAAATTTCTCTCATGTTCTCTTAATTACACTCCACTTTCACCACAGACAATTTTACCAGTGTTACATAACTTACAATTTGTTAACTGCATCCTTGAGGTCACCGGTGCTCACATCACGAGTAATGATATCCACCATCTTCTTGCGAATGGCTTTCACTTGTGAATGCTTGGCATAGGCTGTCTTCTTGATTTGGTTGGCTCGCTTTTTTGTGAAACCAATGCAAAACAACCTCAACAGGTAACCATCAGTGGTTTTCACATCAACAGCTGCCTCAATCAGGGTCTATAAAACAGACAGAAAAATGACGGATTAAGAATACAGATCAAGCTTGATACCAGACACTTTTTTTCAGCTACTCTTTCCAATACTCCTCCTCCTTCATGGAAAAATCTCAAACTCTTAACAGTATGGAACATAATTCAACCTTTGACCCCTTAGAGTGACCAGCATCTACTTTCTCCTTACAATATCACCCCTGAATAAAGCATTAAGATCACCAGAATAAAGGAAATAATCACCAACTAAAGAAACTCTTGATTGTTTGACAAATTCACCTTGTCAGCACTTCAAGAAATGTACAGAGAACAGTGTGGAGAATAAACATACTGATGTTACAGTGTAAACTGTACCAAGGAAATATATTTTTTGCTGGTGAAGCTAGTGGGGATGACAATGATAATGTGCTACCCCAAATTCAAATTACTGCCTGGAAAAATGACCTGCTTACTAACAAATGTCAAGTGCACTCTTGCTCCTCATAATTTAAACACTCAACTGAAAATCATGACCACAATACTGACCTGCCATTTCTTAACCAGTGACCTGAGCTTGTCTGTTGTCATGTCCATGCCATGAAAGTTTGTGAGGCAGTTCTTACCCTGGACATCCTCAACAATAAGCTTGAACTTCCTGAAAGCAACCTCGTCGTTTTGGAGGTCAGCCAATGATGCTTCAAACACACGTCCCTTAAGACCATCAGAAGCAATTTCTGTACAAAAAGAAAAAACAGAATTTTTGTGAATGAAGGGTAGTCATAATAAGTAAATTTTGTGAACCTAGAGATATATAAAATAAAATACTACCCTTGTTTTCTTGGTCAGTGCTGTAATTTTTCAAACCTCCTTTTTTCACTTGGATTTCTGGCCCACTAGTTTTGCCCTTGAGTCAAAAATCCAAGAGGAAAAAACTTGGAATGCAGCTTACAGTACAGACCTTGAACTGGGTTGGTGAGAAGTAAGTACCTTGGAAAGTAAAGGGGATAAGTTTCTAAAGGAACTATGGTGCTGCATCAGTGGAGAGTATAAAAGACAATTTAATTTTATCTGCAGAGTTGCTCGCATAAATTGCCCACTGCAAATATTTTCTACAGCTGATATTTCCAGCATTAGCCCTTTTTCAGAGCAGGTGGCTTGGAAAAGTCCTTTTTGGAGTCCATGCCTTTATAAGGCAATATTATGGTCTCATGTTTGTGAGTAGTACAGTGCAGTTTTCTATGTTGCATGTAAGGCAAGCTAAAGTTATGAAAATTATCAACTTTGAGATATTGTTTCCACGTTAAGCTAAATTCTGACAAACGAACACCAAAGACGTGCATTCCTGTCAGCTAGGAGAATCATTTTTCGAATCTTACGAAAGGAAAAGGTAGGAGACTGGGATTACATGTCGAAAGTGGACAACTTGTGTGAGTTACAGAATACCGAATTGATTTACACAAAATTGAATTTGGCCCATCTCAGGCATAGCGCTTTAAACAAAGTGACTTACTGGTTCCAGTAGTCCTGGTCACCATGGTTTTGCCGATCTGTCGGATGGTGAACATCGACGGAGCCTTGACATCGTACCAATCTTTTTTGGTGAAGGGATCAACGCTAATAAAAACAAAAAAAAACTATTTACTATCGCATAATTTCTACAGAACCACACCTGAGAGCCACCTCCATATAAATCATTTATCGGAATGTTAAATTTCCACGACACTTTAAAAACTTTAAAATGTCAAACATCCAACTAAAAGTATCCATTCGCAGAATTGAAATAAAAACACAAAGTATGCATCCGCTCGAATCCTTGACCAATTCCCGCCATCCACGACATCTACTTTCATAGAGTGAGTCTTACATGAAAGACAAACAGTTCCATGGAAATATGTTTTAATTATAACACTCACATCTTCTTTTTTAGTCCCTTTTTTCCTTTGGTCAGTCTCTTATTTTTTCCCACCGCCATGATGGATCGTGGATCGAGCTGAAGAGGTCGACTGCAGCCTCACTCCGGTGTAAGTCAGTTTGGATTCACGCTGACCATAAGAATTGTTTTTCAATCATGGCGGACGTGCATGGCCATATACAAATCTGGCAAATTACAGCTTAAGATGACAGAAATGCAAGACTCTTTCGAGATTTTGGAGTGGGAAAGCACATCAAAGGAACAGGATTCTCTCATTCATCATTTGTTCGGGGATATATCCTCAAAAAATGGCAAATATTCTACTTCTCTGGCGAGCAATGGATTACTCAAGAATGGTGTGGGTGCTTCAGAGAGTAAGAAACGAAAAGCTACTGAAAGCAACAATCAAACGGGACAATTAAAAAAGAAAAGAAAGAAGAAGAAGAGAGATAATAATAAATTTAAGACAGAGCAAAGGTTAGGTTCAGAGTGTCCAGAAAACGAAAGAAGTGATGCCAATGTCATGAAAGAGCAAGATCTCGAGGTTGATAAAGCGACTTCAAATTATACGGGACCCGTGGAAAAGGCTCTAGAACAAGAATGCAGTAAGAAATTAAATCGCCGCAAGAGCAGGAAAGAAAAGAAGGACATATTGATGAGTCAAAGTGACGAGGAAGACAGCAATGAGCACAAGAAGAAGGATCAAATAAAGGGTGTTAGTGACAATCGATGTCATAAAAGTACTGATCCCACTTGTCAGGCTTGTACAGATAATGAAGGGATTGCTTCAGATCTTGAAACCACAGCAGGGGTAAATCAGTCTGGGATTAATAAAGCCAAGACAAAGAGGCGAAGAGAGAAAAAGAAAGGGGATGACAATGGTCATGTAGACAATTCTACAATTATAACGAATTCAGAGCAAACTGCTCCAGAGGCAAATCAAAAACAAAGAAGAAAGAAGAAAAAACAAGACAGGGAACAAGACCTCCATAGCCCTTATGAAGAATCAGTAGCAGGAAAGAACTTTGAAAACCCCCAGGTCACAAGTGAAAACATTCATCCTCCCTCTGCTCTTCAAAGTAAGTCAAGTCTTCATGAAAAGATGACTAAGCAATTGGAATCTTCTCGATTCAGATGGATAAATGAACAACTCTACACTACAACAGGGAAGGAGGCAGCTGAGATGTTCTCTGAAGATCCAAACCTGTTTGATATTTATCACAAAGGTTTCAACAATCAAGTCAGATTATGGCCAGTTAATCCTGTTGACAAAATCATAGAGTGGTTGAAGAAAAGGTATTGAATACAATGAACTGTGATTTACAGTAGCCAGTGATATATGATTTTTTTTTATATAATACTGTACAATTTTCCTTGGCTTGGTCACTGTGGAAACTAGAATGACTAGTATCTATTTTTGCCTTTTTATTATGAATCAAACATTTAGGCCATGTAGCTCTTCTTTACAATACAGATACATTGTACAAGGTTATCAGCTTGAGGTTGTTGTTTTGATCTAATGCCAATAGCTCTATACCTATTTACTAGAAAATATGTTGGAGAAGAAAAGGAGAATTTCTTATCAGATCTTACAGGCTTAAGTGTGAACACTGAGTTTATTTCACACAAAGGTTGTCCTTTTGGCTTGTGTTTCTTCCCAAACAATGCTGATGGTATCTGCTTATTTACATTTGTAGTTATAATATTTACTTACTCGTCAGTGTTATCTATTTGTAGACCAATATCCAATGTGGTTGCAGATTTTGGTTGTGGAGAAGCAGCAATTGCCCAGAGTGTTGCAAACAAAGTACATTCATTTGATCTTGTGGCCAAAAATAAGTTTGTAACAGCATGCGATATGGCAAAGGTTTGTGTCAATCACAAGTCATTCAGGTTTATGATTTATTGTTTCTGCCGAGACTTAACTCTGATTCATCTGTGGTGGCTTTAAACTCATGTCTCCTGCATTTCAGGTCCCCTTAAGCCCTGCAAGTGTCGATGTTGCTGTCTTCTGTCTTTCATTAATGGGAACCAACCTTGTCGATTTCTTGACAGAAGCCCACAGAGTCCTTAAACTGGGGTACAGACTCAGTCATTACCTCTTTTTTTAATTTGATTGTATTTATATGTACCACAGGTAACACTAAGTAATATATTGTAACTGTAAAAGAGATAACCTCTATATCATGATAATTTTGAGTGCTCCAGTCACAAGGAACTTTTTCCTATTTTCAAAAGCAAGAATTTTATAAGGTCTACATATTTTTAATAATTTAGGTTTTAGTATCGTTTTATAAAATAGGTTGAAGTCTTCATCACAGAGTTGACTACAGCTTGGACTGCCCAATTATTGTGCATAGGATCAGGGAATCTAGGAGTTTCATATTGCCATAAAAATCAGATTACTGTATTTTTAATCTATAACCTTAGTACAACCTTATTACATGCCTTATGATACAATAGTTTGTATAATTTATATTGTAGAGGTATTCTGAAAGTGGCAGAGGTGACAAGTCGTATCAATGACACAGCAGAGTTTGTCAGGTCTCTACTTAGACTAGGATTTAAACTGGAGAATGAGGTGTGATATTCACTATGGTAACTTTATTTCTACTCCCTGGTTTTATGTTTTTCAGTCGGCAGTAAAATTATTCTTTGGTATGAAATTATTTTTAAACAGGTTATTATGACAGCAGTACACCCCAGTTGGTTGAAGATTTTTCAATACTTTTTCTCTCATTATATTTTCTTTTTATGTTCCTAAATGAGAAGGAGGCAAAAATGCAGAAAAAGATTATTTAAAACCAAATCTTGAGTAACTACACTAAAGATCATTACTATTACTGTTGCTACTATTTATTACTATCATTGTTATTATTATCATTATTATTAGCTTTAGGCTCAGATAATTTTGATAATTAACCTCCTGCATTTATGTTGGAGATAAGTCATGAAGATTCTCAAAATCCAAGGGTAATTTTTATTAAAAACCAGGATTTGGATAGTTACCCAGCATTGATACACCATTCCCAACAGTTTCTGCAAAGTCTATTCCAATCCCTGGTGATCAAAAGTTGGGTGGTGTTATCGTTGTTGTTGTAACACTGTCTGATTACACTGACTTCTCCCAATCCCTTCTCTGCAAAAGCTCTTTGTTTTCGGTTAGAGAGAAAAAATGAAGAACTGGTTGTAGGTTATGATATACTTAAATGATCACTACCATGCATGTTTCTGTATTTATAACAATTTATTTTATCTCCTAGGACTCTACCAACAAGATGTTCATTCTGTTTGATTTTGTAAAGGTTCAGGACAGTAAAATGCCAGTTTCATCCAGCAAACTGAAGGGCTTAAAACTTAAGCCATGTATTTACAAAAAAAGATGATACTACAAATTTGTAACAAAGACAGTTCCTTGTAGAAACATTGAGGTCTCAATACCTCATCTCAATCAGATCTCTACCAGATAATCTGAATGATGAAAACAGGGACTTCCCTATTTCAAAAAATACTGTTTTCTGTGAACTATTTTTTTTTAACCAGTGAAAGAATGAGAAATAAAAAAATGGAATCTGTTTTGAAAACTTCCAGAATTACCAGTATTTAAAGCAGTCTCATCAATGGAAAACACTCATGATTCAAGTTGTTTCCTTGGCATTGGTTTTTTTAAAATTAGTTGGATTTTTCACAGTTCACTACAGAGTAAATATTTTACAGCGATTTCCAAGGATGAACCTAGTACATTGTGGCTTAAGGAACTGGGGAAAGTCATGGATTCAAAGATTCCTGTGTCTTAAGTTGTGGTTACTAATTTTCTCGTGAAGCAAAATGCATTTTAATAAAAGCAGCATGAGGGTGCCTTTTAAAAGTAATTGTTTGAGAGACTTTTTGTTGCGGATGATTTTCCAATATTCTTATCAGTTGTTCACACAGTGCTGTAAGAAGGGGGACAACGACAATTTCCTGATCATTGTGAGGTTCTCGTTGTACATCTGTAAGAAGGGGGACAACGACAATTTCCTGATCATTGTGAGGTTCTCGTTGTACATCTGCTATACTTCCTAGTAAGGTTCAGCTTACAACAAAGTGTGCAAACACTTAGAATAATAAAAAAATTTACAATTTTCTCAACTGTGATTGGTTTAAAAAAAGTCCTATTTTCCAATAATTCACTTGCAAGTTGTTATTGGACAGTTTTTTATCAGAAAGTTTGTTACCAGACAGTTTAATAAGCCAATCACATTCAAAGTTGTGGTTTTAGATCAAACAATCACGTTCATTTTGATTGTAGTCAATTTCAGAGGGACATTAAACAAGTTATGCCTCCCCTGTCAGTCTTTTACAGCAAATTTTCTCTTTCATAACTTGGCTCTTCTCTTTTTCTCCAAAATTGTAATTTTTATGAGTGATTGGTGATAAGACTTTGTGTCCTCCAAGTCAGTCTGTGATCATACTCATGATAAACAAATCAGACTCCCACTGCACAGGAAGTGGACTCCACTCAGTCCTATTACCATTACCTGTCAGTAGAGAAAGGGTTGTAAAGGTGCTGGCCTTAGGTTTGCCTGTTGGACTGCCGTGTCTGGTTCAAGGTCTAACTGTATGCATGTTGTGGTTTTAGTGGTCACACGTATGTCAGACATTACTCCTCTGCGCTCAGGATGTACATGAGTCATGTTAATCCTATGAAATTCTGACAGTGTTGGGGGAGGTGGGGGGAATGTAGTCTGTAATGGACTTCCATCTTCTAGTGTCCAGGAGAAGCAACAATGCATCTGGTTGGTTAATGCCAAAGAAACAGGGATAAATGCGAGCAGTTAAGCAATTCAGTCTAATATGAATACCCAGTAACAGAAGAGGGGCTCACAGGTTGATAAAGTACTCTGTATAAAGAACAAAGGGCAACAGCCCATCAGTAACCATTTACACCCAAACATTTGCATGCAAGTTCTGTTAACTATTCTGTATACATTTCCTTACAATTTCAATTAGCCATTTACACCCTAACATCAGTAAGAATGTTCTTCATACTGTTCTCTCTCTGTTTCCTGAGGTGCTGACAAGGAGAATTTGTTAAACAATTGAGAGTTCTTAAAGTTGGTGATCATTTCCTTTATTCTCATGAACTTAAACCTTTAAATCCTATGAGTGACCAAGAGAGAATTTCTCCTTACTATATCTATACAATCTCATACAGACAAGTAATGAGAATAAAGAAAAATGTCAATCATGGGATTACTAATTGATCCAATACCAAATTCTCCAAACTAACATAATGAGAACCATTTGGCAGACAGTAAGGAGAATTGGGAGTTAAAGGATTAAAGAATGATTTGGGGAAAACAGTAAAGGGAGAAATTAGATGCAAGTCACTTTTAGTAGTCAAAGGATTAAGAGCTTCTCAAGTTCAAGATCATTTGCTTTATTCTCACAACCTTACAGTAGGTTTGATCCAGCAGTGATACTATTGGGAAAAATTAGATCATGGCTGTGGTCTAGCAGCACCTGGTGGCCCCTGGTGCCTAACTTTTGCTTATGGGTGACTTAGAAATTTCAGTTTTTCCATAAAAAGCATATGCTGGGCACCCTGAATTTCACAATTTCAGAACTCTGGGCTCCCTTCAATTTTTCTTAGAGCACAACCTTGTAGATGCTCATCACTTTAAGAGGTGATGGAATTGTTTACAGTTGAAAACCTTAATGAAATTAACTCTTGTTAGAACTCATCACAAAATACAGATGCAGTTTCAAAAATGAATTTTATTTACCAAAAATCTTAATCCAAAAACTTTGATTAACAGTGTTCAAAAACAAAACCCGAATTCTTGGATTGCAATTTTCTTAGCACAAATGTGACATGATACAAAGTGATATATCTAAAAAGCCCTATCTTTCAATGTTTGTTTCAGTTCCCTAGCATCTCAATGTTGTAATAACTTTATATGACTTTTTTCTACCTCTTCTGAAATTTCATTGATTGCTTAGGGCAGCCTTGACCAAATCAGGGAAGTTTGGACTACCTGAGCCTGTCACAGGATCCCAACCAGCAGCAGCATAGAATCCTGTATCTCCCTCAAGACAACCATCATTATAACCCGTTGTAACATCATACATTGCCGCTGCATTTTGATACAGGAAAGGATTCAAAAATCCTAGGGAAGATTTGCCTTGTTGAAAACGTGCATCATTCACCAATGAAATGATACCAGCCACGGTTGGTGTTGAAGCTGATGTTCCCATGACCCCTGGAACAGGAATCCTATTATTGACGATCCAAAAGTGATTGCATATGGCTGCAATGTCAGGAAAACCACGCCCTGCTTGATTAAAGTATGATGCCGCAGGTATGTGTGGTCCTGTCTTCAGGTAATTCTCAACAACATCAGTTTGGTAAGAAGGACGATCGAATACATTGCTGAATCCTCCACCGCTTATGTCATAGGCATATTCATCAGACACTGTGAAAGGATCATTAAATGCTGTTCCACCAACTGTAGTAACATAAGGGGATGATGATGGAAACATGGGGCGAAACTTCTTCTTTTTACAGCCAGCACCATTGTCTCCACTGGCAAAGAGGAAGGTGAGTCCTCGAACACCAGCCTTTTGGAACTCTACATTGATTCTGTTCATGTAGGTGACATCCAGTGTGTCTTCATTATCACTGTAGCTGACGCTGTGCACCCACGGTACATCTGTGCGATTACTGATGTCAATGAGCCATTCCAGGAAGGGCTCTTGTGACTCATGACGCCCACCAGTGCTCCAGAACCACGTAGGTACCATTGCACCCAGACTCATGATGTACTGGGTATCCAGGCTAGCTTCAATGCCAGAGCGACCACTATCGGGCCCAATAACTTTGGCCATTTCTTCCAGATGCTTGAAGGAACCTCCCCACAAGGCTAAGAATTCCTTTAGATCAGAAGGACTGTAGTACTGTTCCAGAAATTGTGCCACAGATTGTAAGTTTTTGGGATGCGTGCCAACGACATCGGAAACATTATAACGCTCTCGTAAAACACTCGGGTAAACACCGATGTGTACTTGGCCCCTAACTGATGGTTTTTTCTCAATCTCGAAGAGCGCGTACTCATTAACTTTGGGGGAGGACGGGCCATTCACCGCTGGGAAATGAAGTACCCCACCCACGAAATCCAAATGAGGAGACACTGTCTTCGGAACACTGTATAGATGGGTCGAGCGAATCACGGGCCGTGTGAGCTTTGTATGTCTAAAGCGGTGAAACTTCGCCCCAACAAGAAGTGCCTCTGCTGCTGCACAAGACATTCGGCAGGTCAAAAAATCTCCGGTAAGAATTGTCGTGCAGTCGCTCTGCTGAATGCCATGCCTTCTTAGCCATAAGTTGATTGTAGAAGTAGTCGCTTCAGAAGGTGATACAAGCTGCGTCAGGTTGGATAACGACAAGTGTTTGCCATATTCCGACGACTTGGGATCGGAGACCTGCCAGAAATGTCGCTCGAGCGATTCTAAATTTCTTTGCTTGAGAGCGAAGGTGAGAAAAACATCTTCCGACGGGGAGAGTCTTTCCGCTTTTTCCCAACCCTCCGCTCGCCAAGCTTCCAAATCGTGGCTGCTTTCAAGGAACACGAGTTCCTGTGGTTTAGCGGTGCAAAGGCCGGTGCAGGCGAGAAAAAACGCCGCACAAATGAGGCGTCCGACCTCCATGTTCCCCCACTGCAGCTGAATGCCGATCCCGTGAAAGTCATGTGACGTTTGTTTGGTTTCCGGTTAAAAACCGGAAACAATGTGGGAAGTCCTTTAGGAAAACAAGGACAGATTGTTGTTGCATTATTCATGACCAGCGGTTTTCATTCAATTGCTCTAAGTAACCAATCATTATTCACTCATCGCCTGCGTGGAGGGAGGTGGAGGATTTTTGAGATCACATGGTTTTCAGGGAGAGAGAGAGAGAGGGGGGGATCAATCGTCGCCGACATAGACACAGGAGACTATAGAAAATTGACTGCTGAGGGGGGTGGGGGGGGGAGGAGGATGGGAATAAAACAGAGCCTTAGGAAGTTAGGAGGGGATCGGGTGAACGTTACCTTTACACAACAAAATCCTCCACTCCCTCCCCTTTAGTGAAAGATAATTACCATTCCTTATTTCATAATTCATCATGCATCAGATAATTCCTTTTTTGCTCCGTAATTTTTTAGTCTTCTGTTGAAATTTTTGCCAAAGTCATTCAATTCGCTTTTAATAAAGGGATATGAATGCTTAAGAACTTCTTACTTACCGAGACATTACTGACTATGGAAAAATCGTTCTTCTTGCCGTTTGCTTTCAGCCGTTTGTAAATAAAGTTAAAATATTTCCTTGAGCTATGCGCAGGACACTTTTTGTTGTATTTCTGCTTGGGTGATTGAGGGGTTGTAGGATCTTATAGGAAAAGAGACAAAAATCAGAATTAATTTTCACCATTTGCCGCAAAACCCGTTATCTAGTATGTGGAACTCAGCAACGATATGGATTGGAAGGAGGAGGGGGTCCAGAAAATTTTGGAAGGAGGTCCAAACTTTCAATCTGAAGACAGAGAAAACCTTTAATTGTTTTTTTCGTAATGGCCCAAATAAGCCAAGACATATTGCAAGATAATTGAATAACAAATACTTCATATAGAGTAGGAATACGCCATCCTATCATTGTGAGAATTTTGGAATTTGTATAAGTAGTAAAAAAACCTACAGGTCTGATGCGCGGGGGGGGGGGGAGGGGGGAAGGGAGTGTGCATAACCTCCGGACCCCGTCTGGATCCGCCATTGTGGATCGTTGAGGCTGGTCTGGTTGGGTTTGAAAGAACTGAAGAGAATGTTATAGATTCTTTTCTTAATAATTTCAAGAAAAATCCTTTGTGATATAGCGAGTAGATTTTGAAAATACAAAAACAATTTTAAAAATACAAAAACAATTTTAAAAATACATGAAACCTGTCAAGTACCAACAATGCTGAATCAATCGCATTTTAGATTGGCGTATTCAGCTGCTCGGACAACAGAGCTCTTCGCAGATCAGCTGTCTTCCCACTGTGATAGTATACCAAATTATTCGGGTGGCTGTGAATTATTTCTTTGTTATGCCATTGCCTTAACCATTTGTGCGAGAGTGTTTTAATTAGGGAGCTTTAGCAACCACGACGACGACGCTGGGTACGACGCCAAGTAAAAAATGAATTTATATTTTATGAGCGAAATTCACAGTTGTCTAGATCTGTTCGGTTCGTTAATGGCTCTAAAATCGTGCTCGAGCTAAATGTGCAATGGCGTGTAATTCCGAATGGAAATACGAAATATTAGCCGTCGTCGTCCACGTTCCGTACAGGACGTAGAATTTGGTCATTTCACGTTGTTGTTTTGCAGAGGATGGCAAAGAAATGTACAAAGATTTATAACGCACGTGCATAGCCATTGTTCTGCTCATTAAACCTTTTGTTGGATGACGTTCTCGTTGCCGTCGTCGTCGTGGTTTGCTTAAGCTCCCTATTACTGCGGAGATGACAACTTGTGCCAGTTATTAGAGCTAAAGTGTAGTAAGATGCCGATCATAAAGTGATCGGAGAATATTTTTAATGAATTATTTTAAGCAAAAGATCACAATTTCAAGCGGTTTACCGGCGAAGTAACCCACGGGGGATTTTGGGAGAACATTTCTTGTGTAGAGAGTGCGCTCTATTGCTTTTGTAAAATAAACTTCAATTTTTTGGGGCTACCCGGTGCAGTAAACGATATGTTTTTGGCCAATCAATGCGCACGTAGTATCTCAGTTTATAAGAATCAGATATGCTTTTATAAATTACAACACATTTTTCGGAAAGGAACCTTTAATTTTCTCACATCCTCTTCTAACCTTCCCGTTATCCCGGCAAGTGGTAATATGTTTATTTAAGAAGGAAAATGATGACAAATATTTGGGTAAATTTGCCGCTATCGCGTTATCGAGTTTAAAAATTCATCAGATATTTGGCTAGCATGACATAAGTCTATTTCCGGCTAGAAATCTTATCAGAAACCTTTCAGTTATCTTAAAAGACATCGCTTTAGAAGTTCCGTTAGCTTAAAGTGAATTATGACAGTGGTTTTATTATCACATACAAGGGATTTCTACTATCGCGTGACATGCTTTCAATCGGAGGTTAGCGTGACTTTCGGGACCAACTTTGACGCGATAACTCGTCTTGCAAGGACCGGAAATGCGCGAATACATCGCAGCCTTCGTGAATAATTGCGAATAAACGTAAATAAACTTTTACAGAATCTGCAGGGACAGAAATATACTGATTTTAAAGTAGTTTAACTTCAATTTAAGCCCACGTGTGCAAAAGACGTCAAAGAGATAAATTATAATATTGTGTATTTTTTCATTTCTGACTCTGATTAACCTTATTGATTAGAGAAGCCAGCTAGACAGGAAACAGCGAGGCACTTACGTAATTCCTTCTTCTTCTTCTTCTTTTTAAGCGTGAATTAGTTGTCAGACCTTTTACGCAAACAGTACGTGGAACACCCAACCGGAGTATGTCACAGAGAAAGACGTACTGTCGTTTTATGACTTGATGAAAGCTGTAGATACGAAGAACGAAACTGCAAAAAAATCAATGTTCAGAAGGTAAGGAAGGTCTTTCTTAACGATCCATGGAAGAAATAGTAATATCAATACGGTAAACTTGACGATACTTGTTCAAAGTGGTCTTCCTGAAATTTTTTTCGGTTACCGGAACTAGATGAGTTGATCCTGAACATCGCAGAAATGCCATTTGCAAGAACCGACGCAAACGTGTTCAACATTTTCAAAAGAACAAAGTGCAAAATCATACATTTACTGGATTTTAAAAGTCTCCAAATCATTTGGGTAGAGTCAAAAACATTTCATTGGGGTTCAAATCTTCTCTGCAGAAGCCTTAACAATATATGTTTCGCGTCTTTCAGCATAATTTAAGCTTAAGTTATCTAGATTTCACCAGGAGAAATTTGACCGAATTAAATTTGCAAAAAGTGAAAAGAATTGCGCTATATACCGGACTTTTTCCTGTCCATAGCTCTTTTCCTTTGTGAAAGCCTTCCTGTTGCCTTTAAGATCTAAATGAAAAATCTTTAGGACGATCGATTACTAATAAATAAACCTTCTAGCTTCTCAGAGTTCGGTTACGGAAAGGTCCTTTGACGAATTTGGCTCATGACCAAAACTGACTTTTCACCCTTGGATGGCAAAGAGGGGTCCTAGTCCTGTTTCACGTACAAATTTCATAAAATTGCTGTGTCAAGAATTAAAAAGGAAAATTTCTAATCTCACCTCACCTTGTCTTTCTGTAAAACACACGCGTCAGCTATTAATTTTGGGCCCAATCAAGCAGCTGGTATAAACCTTTGGTCACCTTCTAAAGAGACGTCTTGGCCCACTCTACTTAATCGACGGATAAGGAGATTAGCGTCTTTACTGACAAAATGATGACTAATATCTGACTTAGCAACGTTAAATTAAAAAGGCTCCCCCATTTATTCTCAAAAATACAAGTTTCGTCAATTCAGTTTGCCCCAAAATGTCTGTTAAAAATATTTTTTAGTTTCTTGACGGAACCATCTTTCGTCTTCCTGTCTGATTTTTTTTATCGCGATTACAGCTACGACTCTAATCTATTATTAAATACTATGATGACTCGGCTTCGAAGAAGCCATCCTCGTATAATTATCCAGTCTATGTTAAATTAACTCTACTGATCAATGGTTATATCACCTACTGGTAAGTTTAGAAAAAGAGTTCACCTGCCTGTCCCACTTCTACATGTCACTATGAATTGATTGACAAATGAATGAGATGCAATTGTCGGTCGTATAACTAAGCTGTCAGTCGTATAATTAAGCTGTAGGTCGTGTAACTAAGCTGTCAGTAATTTGTAGTATTAATAGCTTTTTTGACATTGAAATTGCAAGGACTGGAAAAGTGGAGCTTATTAACAGATCGCGATCCCAAAGATTCGGCTGCTTACAAAGACGCTTCCTGATTCATGATTATTTGAAAAGAGTGTAGAGATAGCATGGTAAGTTTTTGTCATGACTGTAGATTTGAAGTTGCCAAAAAACAAAGCTTATGTACAGCAGTGACTCATTTTGAATAACAACTGAATCAATTTATCTAGCATCGATAGTGAAAACGAAAATGATGCATTTAGTGTATGATAATTCATCCGGTAAAACGAAGAGGCATGACATATTCGATCAGATAAAAATTTACAAGAAGAGACTTCACAGAATTTATTTAAAATGATGTTTTCATATCCGGCCATTAATGAACTTCAACTTTTGAATTTTTAATTAACTGCTTTTTCCTTGGCGTATACGATCCTTTCTAAAAGACAGATATTTTATAAGCATTCAACTTTAAGCAAGAGTGAAATTAACATCAGTTTAATTCAAACGCACTTTCTGGTGTTGTCCTTGACAACAAACGGTCTGAAGATATGTCTTTTAGACAATTACGTAAGTTACCTTTTAGGATGGCAACTATTGAAGGAAATTGCATTATTACATGTTTGTCGACACAGCCATACTGATAGTCTCCTTTGATGCCTTTCTTTGGAGTGTCACCCAACACTAAATATTCTTTTATAGGGGAAGGTGTTGCGTTACATCTGATAGGACGGTGTACGACTGAGGAGTAAGCAGCCGATGAGTCTCTTTATGAATAAACAATTCCTCAAGTATTTTACCTTTTTTAATCGAAATGACATTTGAATATTTAGCTAGCTGTGTCTCTAAATTGTCATTATTATGGGAAATGAGTTACAATCATTGCAAAACGAACGATGCACGCGCTTTTTGTGGAAATTACTGATCTGGTCGTAGATTAAACTTGATAATTAGACGCTTAAGTGTTCTCTTGACGCCATGGCAGCCCAAATCAGCAGAAATCTACGAATTTACACATTAGATAGTCGCTAAAGAACTAAAAATGAGTTGGAACTAAAATTTTACAACGCCTATGAAAGCATCCGTTGCCCCACAAATAGCCTCGAGCTAAACAGACGGTTAATTTCTCAAATGTAACGTTATTGTTAAGCTAAAGAGTTTAGAGCTTAGGATACGCGAGCACAGTCTATGATGTCTAATAACTTAGTATTTTACCGTTTTTCATCATTCAACTTATTTTTTTTTTATTTATTTATTTTTTTTTGTGGCAAAGGACCCAGCCATTCCCATGTAAGGTAATCTATTTGGAAAAAGCATGTTTAAATCATGAAGTTTATGCCCTGTTCTCTCAAAAGAGCTGACGAGTCCTGGTGACAGCAGTTTTCAGTTGAGTTTCAAACTCATTCTATTAGTGTCAACAAAAAGGTGGAGTAACGAGGAGAGGAGGCGGGGATTGACGAGGAGAGGAGGCGGGGATTGACAAGGGAAGGTTAAATTTCTTGTAACTCGAGGCGTAAATTTTAAAACCGAAATTAGCTTGGCATACTATCCACACACTTGTTAAGTTTTAACAGGGTGCCAATATATACAAAAGAAATAGAGCTGGTGCTCTTATGGTTTGGAGACAGACCAGCTTATGAGTTTGTGATCATTGAATTTGTAAATATGGAAATGTTGATTAGTTTTGTTGTTAGCTTTTTAGTGTACACAAAATATCGCTGGAGCGCTTCCATTGCAGTTCCTTCAATTATGGCTGTGTTCACTTTATGTAGAACTTGAGAAATCTGAAAAGATTTATTGCTAACTAAGCAGATCTTTTGAAACGTTTATTACAAGTTATTTTGACGATTTGATCACGCACAGAGAAAGGAAGTTTTATAACTGTAACCTTCTACTGTGTACGTCAGCCTATCGACGTTTTGAAAACACGAATATAAACAATCGATTTTACTCTCACTGGAGATTTGTATTCGAAAACGTGATGTTTTGAAGAACCCCGTCGCGTGTCAGACTTGTGATAAACACAGGGGATATGCGCACCAAAACGGAAGAAAAATTAAATCGTCGCCCGAGAAAGTAACACAAACCTATAAAGAGTGCTGACAGACTCTCTGTGAAAATGTCAAAAAATGCAAACGTCGTAAGGTGTTAGTAATAATTATTCCTCGGCATAACAAAGCACCTGCCGTTTGTTGGCCAAGCCAGTTTTTTATTGCGCACGGAGCGAATGAAAATCTTTCCGATATCATTTTCCGGTGAATAATTAAACGTACCTCAAAACGTTTACTCTAATTTCACCTTTCTCTCTCGATAAGGATATTCTATAAGGAACTTAAAACCGGGAAACATTGCCGTACAAGCCCTTAAACAAATTGGTAAGTACTTACTGCTTTAAAACCGGCTTTTTCACGGATCTGTTTTTCAGAATATTTTTGTAAGTACCATGAAAAAAAAAACCAATTAAAGCTACCTAAGTATCGTCTCTTATTTTATTCGTATATTTTCTTCGCTATAAGAAGAAGAATAGAGGAATATTTAAAAATGAGAAAATAACTGCAAATGTAACACTAGAGAGCAATGAGTTCGATTGAAATTTTTCAATCAACTAAATCTTTCTCTAAAAATTCATACTGTTATTTGACAATCATATATACGCATGAATGTCTTCCGAAAAAAAAATTTACACTGATTAAAAGCATAATTATATTTTCCAGATTTTCCCTTTGTGGTCAGTAAACATTTGCTACCAACTATTGGGAAAAAATATTAAAAACTATACGCTTTTATTTCACAATAATATATTCGTTTTGCTAATAATTAAAATGGAAGAGTAAAAACTCCTAACTAGTTGACACTTTGTTGGAAGCCGCGAACAATACTTAAACAACGAATCACTATAGAAATTGTCGTCTGTTATTGTCTGTGAAGATTGTAAGGTCACTTGCTTTTTAATCTTTTCCGAATATTTAATTCTGGTATACGAATCATCATTCACAATATTTGGTGAGATTTTTTTTTCATGACAGTCGTGATCATTTGTTGATAAAGAATCTCATGCCACATAGAAATTGTTGAATTGTTGATTAAAAGGGACATCACCAAAAGCTGCCCGAACAAACACCACTCAGCTCGACAGCTCGTCTAACATATATAAATTTTGTATATGTCTCCCATGTGTTTTATTTTGCAAAAAGCTCAGCAATCTCCTTGCATAGTGTAAACAGGACTAATGCCAGACTAAACAAAGGCAATTTTGAAATGATCTCGTCAATTCTAATCAATCAATATATCCGAAAAGCTTTCTTCCTCGATCTAAACTAATTCGAGTGAATTATCCTTCTCTTATATAAGGGATGTCAATTTGAAAAAATGTTCCTTTAGTTTTAATCACTAGTTCTTTAATTTTCTGAATAGATTTTACCAAAATTGTTCGTTTGATTCTTGGAAAATGATATTAAAACATGCCAGATTACAGCTGAATAAATCATGGTTGTATTATTAATGGTTAAAAAAAATTCCATGGCAACATTATGTACTCTTAAAAACACCTTTAAGTTTGTAGCTTAATTTTTTTTTTGCAAAGTCTAAAAATTTGCAACGTTGGGTCAGAGCAAGAGAAAATACCTCATTATTTCCTCAAGGCCAGAGGCATCATAAATTAATGATCAATTTAGGAGGCTCTAAGGCAACACATTTTTTCAAAGTTTTGCATAAAGATGAATTTTTACTACAGAAGTTAATATGAAAACTGCCGCGACTGGCTTTCGAGTTTGCTCAACTATCGAGAAATTTAACCCACCCCTAGCCCCCCCGAGTGTTTTAGATGAGGTTTAAGGCTTTGTAAACGCGAAAACCACGCGTATCTAAAACATAACAAACACGTTTACACGCTCTCGTCAAAACACGTCTATAAATCAATAACAAGAGAGTGCGCACCGTCAGTTATCAGTGGGTTATCTTTTGAAAAATAAAAAGTTTATCTGAAAATATCATTACTATTTCACGAGAAAAGAGAAATTCTTACAAAATGGGACAACTATCATCATTGAGTGCAGCAGATATCGCTAAGTACGAAACAATTTATCACGGGAAAGTTAGTATTTTCCTTTAATTGGCGTGAAATGACGAGGAATTGAATTTCTCGTCATTTCACGTCAAATAAATGGAAATCTTTTTGGGTTTTAGGTAGAAAGACACTAAGGCGCCAATTATTACTCTCCACGAACAGGCATGATCAAGATATTAATTTTGAAATGATCACTGGCAGAAATAATTTTAAAACTTTCTTTTCGAGTAGTAATAGCATTACGTAGATAAAAGAAAATACAGAAAAATAGCAGCACCATTACCGAAGCTTCTTTCGTGTGCACCGTTTTCAAATCGTTGAACTAAAAAGGATCGTCAATGGTAATTTGATAATATAAAAATAAATTAAATAAAATTTTTAAAATATCGAGAGTATGGCAAACGCCAAATAATTGTTACGGAAAATCTATTATTTGACACTACCACGAATTTAAAGCATCCATTGTATTAGGAGGCAGCATGTCTCTATAAACAATTCTCTACAATTGTGTGAGCGAGCCAGTTCAAGATTCCTGTGTTTTAGCAATCGAAATCTTTTTGAGAAAAACAGGAAACCGACAGCTCCTTAACGATCAAACATTTTCGTACAGTGGCAAGCTGGAGGGTCGAAGTAGACCGAACAATTTCATCCAGTAGTCACGCATGTGGAAAAGCCGTGCGCTTGTTTGATCGTTTGGTAATCCGTCTTAAATGCGGCAAACACCATTTGAAACGAAAATGTTGAATGGTTTAGCCAGGGGCTAAGGAAGAGTTAATGACAAAAATGCTGGTAAGAAATGCGCTTAATTTGAAGAAACATTTCTTTTTCAAGAATCCTTTTGCAAACTCATGATAAGCAAATGGCCTTAATTTGTTTCTATCTAAACAGGTTCATTGACATGTCATTTTTGTCTTGATTTTCAGAGCGCAACGCATTGTTAAGAACAGCAATTTCCGAACAGCCAAGACTTAAAAGATCATGATATGACTGCTTCCACGCCTTCAGGCTTAAAGCTGTTCCTGAACCATACACGCTTATCGGCAATCATGTCTGAGCAAAACTCAGCCTTACCTAACTTAACTACATCTCCACCAACGACTCAAGCCAGGGATGGAGAATCAATAGATTCTGATGACGCGACATGGATTCTGACAAGTGCCTTCATTATTTTCACAATGCAGTCTGGCTTCGGTCTCCTCGAATCCGGCATGGCGTCAAGAAAAAACGAAGCTAATATCATGGTCAAGAATGCAGTGGATGTCATCTATGGTGGATTGTCCTATTGGCTTTTCGGGTTCGCGCTCAGTTTTGGAAAAGAGCAAATTGGGAATGGCTTCCTCGGCTTGGGATATTTTCTGACGGACGCAGACGAAAGCGAAATGGGGCAGGTGTTCTCAAAATATTTTTTTCAACTCTCTTTTTCTACGACGGCGACAACAATTGTTTCTGGAGCAATGGCGGAAAGAACAAACTTAAAAGCCTACACACTTTATTCGTTTTTGAACACTTTGACTTACACCCTCCCAGCTCACTGGATTTGGGCTGACAATGGCTGGCTTCGGAGAATGGGGGCCGTAGACATCGCCGGCTGCGGAGCAGTGCATTTAGTCGGAGGTGTTAGTGGTCTGGTGGCGACGATAATATTGAAGCCTCGAACGGGAAGATTTGACACAAATTCTCCGCCACTGCAAATGGCCTCTCCGACAAATGTTCTCCTGGGAACTTTCATGTTATGGTGGGGCTGGTTGGGTTTCAATTGTGGCAGCACATTTGGAATAAGTGGCAAGAAATGGAAACTTGCTTCAAGGTACAAATATTCCCGTGTCTCTAAATAAACATTTATCCAGACATGTTAAATACATTCGTACCTATATACCGCAAACATGATAATTTTCTCCCTTCAAAATTTGACAGTTATCTCATATAATGTAGTGTAATAACGGATCAGTCATATTTTTTATCGCCTAGAAGAGGTCGGTGGATTTTGGTCGTGTCTCTGCGATTTACAGTCAGTTTTTTTCAGTCCCCCCCCCCTCTTTACACTCTGTTGGCGACGACTGATTCCCCCCTCCGTTCCCCCTCGGAGCCATGTGATTTCCACCCCCAAAAATCTTCCGGGGGGGCCCCCCTCCCCCCAAGCGATGATTGTTCTCTAATCACCTACGTCTGTTGGTAGAGGGAAGACGAAAATATATTGTATTTTTCGCGTATAAAGTTTAAATCTTCCCAAAAGTTTATAACCAGTCGTTTTAACATCTCGGTGTATTTTATCAAACAGGTCAGCTGTAGTTACAATCAACGGCTCTATTGGCGGAGGGATAATGGGCATGATGTACAGGTAAATGAATACCGATAAATGTGCCAAGAACACGCCTTCAGACGCCGCCATTTTGAAACCAACTAGGTAACCTGGCTGCTCATGCAGTCCCACAACGAGCAATTTACAAACAACTGCTGCCCTTTTTATTGCAAACATATTAATAATTCATTATTTGATTCAAGAATTCCTTTTTGTTGTAGCTCCTAATTGTACAAACGGGTTATTAAGAGACGGAAAAAAGAGGGTGATATATCGTAACGCCGCAGGTACGCGGCTTGGCTGTTTAGAAAAAATTCAAAATGGCGGCGGTTAGATCACTGGTTTCGTCTGAAAACTCAGTCAGCTAGTGTTACAGTCTTGATATTAATTTTTGATGGCGGAGATGATAATTATGTGGATACTGGAGCGTGCTTCATCGCAGGAGGAGTTCAGTCTCTTGGCCTGATCCTCTGCCTTTGGATCACTAGTTGATCTAAATTTTCATACAACCAATAAGAAGCCCTGTGTTATTATTTTTTTCAGCTACATTTTCTTCAAAAAGAAGTTAGATATTCCGACGTTTGTGACGGGGATTTTAGCAGGGCTCGTCAGTATTACAGGTATTTGATTTTAAAACTGATAATCTACAATGAACTCCAATGGAGGCTCAATCTCATTAAAAAACAAACAAACAATAACAAAACAGCAAGACAGTGAGGTTTGAAATGCTTCATGATTTCACAACTGTAATGCTAGAACTTGGCCAATCACAATGTGAAGCTTACAGGTGTATATGATTTCTCTCTGACAAGATGAATTTAAATTAGAAATTTGACAATAGAATAAATTACGACATTTGACAAAACAAACATGATGGAAACAACCTGCTTTACCTCGAGAAGCTCTGGCGGTACTATTAATGTGACTCAAGTCTTGGAGTTATTTTCCAGGATACCAGCGGATAAGTCTTTGAAAATTACCATTAGAAATGCACAAAACTTGTAAAATTTAAGATTTAATCATGTTCGCATAGTCGTTAAAAAGGTTAACACTTTTGCAAATAAACTGGTGACCCTCTTCCCGTGAAGAATGATGTAATTAAATCCTTGTCCTTTATGCTCTGCTCAGCTATCTGTTCCCTCGCTCGCCCATGGGAAGCTCTTCTTATTGGTGCAATCGGCGCCATGTTGGCATGTCCCACATGTGCTCTTCTTGAAAGGCTCAAAATCGATGATCCTGTCAGCTGTGTACCTACACATGGCTTGGCAGGGATCTGGGGCCTATTGGCTGTTGGCTTGTTTGCTGAGAAAGACATACTGGAACGTACATTCTCCAACGAGTTTGGACTCTTCAAAGGTGGTCCTTGGAAATTCGTGGGAGTTCAATTGCTTATGTCCGTTGTAATGGCTGCGTGGGCCGGTCTCACAACATTACTAGAGCTACTATTGGTCGATCGGCTGCTTGGACTACGCATGAGCGTTGAGGATGAGCTACTGGGCGCTGATAAAGTTGAGCATGGAATTGACGATGACATTCCCGACCCGAATCACGAGGAGAAAGAAAGGGAAGGAGACAACAACATGACAATAGTAGAACTGGATCTAAGCGCCTTGGAAAAAGGTGAGATTGGCACCACTTTGTCCAAAACAGAGAACGGAGGGAAAGATTCGCGCAAAATAATCCGTACCCGAAGGAAACTCCCTCGACTGAATTGGCGAAGAGCTGTGTCACTGAGAAGCTCTGCAACCAAGAACTCTGGCAAGGGTACATTTTCATTAAAAGACGGGTATAGTAACGGCGAGCTTGCTCAAGAAAACGGAAATCTGCCGACTTCCACGACGAACAGTAGTGTTTTTCATACAAGCTAAGACTAGAAGCAGAAAACTTAAAAGCGGAAGTGAAGGGGCTGCTTTTTAAACCCCGCTGTCTGCTTTATTAAATTTAGGAGAACGTTTTCCAATCAAGCAGTTCGTACAACTACGAATTAAAATAAGTAAATAGACAAATGAATAAAGAAGAACGTTTTGTCTATCGGGGGCTGAATGTTTTAATCAAATAAATCCTTTAACCTCAAAGGTCTGACTTAACATAAAGATAAAAATTAAAAATACAAGGGTTATAAAAGCTCGAGAGAGCTGAGCTGTAGTCAAAGAAGCTCAATATGAATTTCGTTTTGGTTTGTGATATTTGGAGCTGAACCTCACCCATTTCTCCTAATGAAAGCCTTGGACCAACGCCTTATTGGGATGGATAACCCTATTGATTACATATATGGGGGCAGCTTGTCCCAAACGCTTCTTTGTAGGTGGGTGGACAGGGTCTCACTGAATAACACCTTTGGTGATGTGAACTTCCTGGATTAATAACATTACTATTATTATTATTATAATAACTATAAGGCGGTATAATCAAAGGTAATTTGGAATTGTATCGGTTTGATTTCTCGACGCTCTGTAATTGTACTCAATTAAAAAATTACGCGCCAAATATTCGACCAATTAAATTTGGTGACATGACTTTCTTTGAGTCCTCATTAGCTCGTTTATACTATGTGTACATCTTAGTTTGAAAGGTCTCGATTGAAATCTGAAAGCTTGCATTTACGAAAAGGTTTTTAATACCAGAACGCCTTTTTGAAATTAAAACGGGTTGAGACCTAGTTACACTTCTACTTCAAGCGTTTATTAAAAATTACCTAGTTGATTGCTCGCCACAGAAATGTTACATTCAAATATCAAAACAAAACAAAAAACAGTTTATCAAAAAGTATGCGCGGATTAGTCAACAATTAACTGTCAAAGCTTTGAGAAACTTCAAGACATATTCACGACCTTTCGTCTAGCATAATGGTGGCCTCTTTTAAACTTTTTCGACCGCCGATTCTTGACTCTGGATGCCACTGTGCTGAGAGGTAGAGTAAGGCAATCGCACGGTATCCTCTTCAGAAAAAAGTCTGTCTCTTTCAAACGTCAGACATGAGAAATCATCGCCTTCGTTTGCAAAGATCCCATGTTCCCATTTGTCAGCACCATCGAGCTCCTTCTCACTTGACATGCGCAAACAGGTCAACTTATCAATAGCATAAAGCTCTAAAAATGTAGTGATTAGTGTCCACGATGCAATGGTGACAGCGGTAAGTATTTGAACACCCAGGACTCTCCAACTGCCTCCCTTAAAAACACCATAGTGCTTGGACATCAATGGGTCCCTCTCCACAACAAGTCCCACCACTACGATCCCCCATAGGCCAGTGATGCCGTGTGTTGAAATACAATGTACCGGATCATCAATGCACATGCGTTCGAGGAGGATGTTGCCAAAACAACCAAACGCGCCTCCAATGAAGCCGATCAGTACACTTTCCCATGGAGTTACAACAGGACAAATGGCTGAGAAATGAAATATGGAAAATAAAATACAAATAGAGATATATTACCTACCAAGCATATGAAAATACAACAATTTGTCACCTTTCACTCAGTATTACACTCTATTTGCATCTTTGTTAAGATGGGGGAGGGGGGGTGGATGGGTCGTGGCACATCAATAAGACTAACCTTACAGAATTATCATAATTATTTACTATGACACGATAAAACAAAAGATGGTCATGAGGATGAGCGCTCTACACTCACCCACCACCCCTTAGTCTTAATTGAAATTTTGCTCACCTACCCTTCCCCTAACCCTGACTTGTTATCCGTTGACTGATGTTGGGTTAGGGGATGGGTAGGTTGGTGCGCTGTTGCTCGGATGCTGATACTGATCCCCAATTTTTTTTTTGTGCTCACCTGTAATGCTAACGAGTCCAGAAATAATGCCAGTTACAAAAACATCAATAAGGAGCTTGTTGTTATATTTCAGATAGCTAAAGAGAAAAAGAAAACATGCTTAGACAGTGTTAGAATGTGATTAGCCATTTAACAATCATAATTGGATGAGGTTGAGCATGATTTCGAGAATTATCGAGGCGGAAGCTGTTTTCAGCTGTTGAAGCCGTACACTAAGGCGGATAACGCAAGACGAGGCTTTGATTATCCTTCTCTATCATGCAGACATTGAATCCTAAAATCGTTTCCCGACGTGATTAACATTTTTTTGTTGGTTTAACAGTTCCAACGCATGCATATATATATATATATATATATAATCATCTATAGGCATGAAATACAGCTAGGATTAGTTGCGTGCTGGTAGCCAATCTGAACGATCAGATTGGTAAAAAATGTTGCTAGTCATCAAGAGGGATGGTTTGTTTGTCAGCATCTATCATCTGCAAAATCACTTTTCTCACCTAAACCCTGTTGCAAAAATTCCTCCACCGATTGCACCGTTGAGCGTAACGACGGCAGCTCTGCAAATAACAAAGACTTTTTTCATGGTTAAAAGTTCCTAAAGGCCCTTGGCACTTGACCGTGACAAAGAAAAAAAGGAAAGCATATCATCACATGGTGCGCACGTGCACCACAAAAGCCAAAGACAGAACAAATTACAAATTGCCCTCTCTGCTCTATTCACATGTAGGACACAAAACGTGGTCTCCACCAAGGTATCTTTTATACGATTCGATCGTAGCGGATGTATTAAATGCGTCACGCTTTACCTATTCTATTACTATACGAACCAGAGACGTAACGAAAGGGATGTATATGTCACTGACCTGGATGCAAGCTTCCACTTTCCTCCTGTGATCCCAAACGTGCTTCCACAGTTGAACCCAAGCCACCCCCACCACAGCATAAACGTCCCAAGCATAGCATTGGTCGGAGAAGCCATTATGTTAGGCCTGGGGCGATTATTTTCGTCAAACTTTCCCAAGCGAGGCTTAAGGTAGAGCGTGGCTACCAAACCACTAAAGCCGCCGACCAGATGTACCGGACCGCAACCAGCCACATCTACGGCGTCAAGCTCATAAAGCCAGCCTTTCGGTTCCCACATCCAATGTGCTGGTAAAGAATACGTCAAGGTGTTGATGAACGAGAACAAAATGTAGGCTTTAAGCTCGACTCGCTCCGCCATCGCCCCTGAGACGATTGTGGTCGCAGTTGTGGAAAATGACAAATGGAAGAAATACTTGGCGAACACGTGACCCATTTCGTCATCATCTGCGTCGGTGAAAAATTTACCACAGCCGTTGAAAGCTGTCGTTCCCTCATCCCGGCCAAAACTGAGACCGAATCCAAACAGCCAATAAGCGAAGCCGCCGTAAATGACATCAACAGCGTTTTTTACCATGATGTTCGTTTCATTTTTCTTGGATACCATGCCTGCTTCGAGGAGACCAAACCCCGACTGCATGGTAAAAATAATAAACGCTGACGTCAGAATCCACGTGGCGTCATCTGATTGGATCTCTTCGTAATGGAGCGGAGCGTCATACGGCGTTGACGTCACACCACGAAACGCCGCTGACACGAATGTGATGTTCGAGTGATTCATACTTTCTATTAATGCAACGGTAAGGAAAAGCTAAGAATGACATCGCAAGGTTCTAAAATCTTAAATAAAACCTCTATCGGTTAGATGCTTACTGCAAACGCTCTAAAATGCCCTCTAGCATATACAAAGAAACTGAATTATCGTTTTTTTCCATCTCGCGATGCTTTCTTTAGCACCTGCTGTAAAATTATATTTTGGATAAATTGTATTTATCTAGAACTTGCTAAATGTTGGTATTTCGTAAGCCATTTGCAAGCAATTTAGATCGGTGCATCTTTGCTGTAAATTCCCGTTTTTGTTTACATTTTCTTGTAACAGGAAAGTGCAATTTATAAAATTTAAAATCTTTTATAATTTTCAGCAATTACTCTAAATCCCTGTAAAATGTCTTTATGATAGACCAAGGCTTACGGAAGATTAAAACTGTTCCCTGGATGAATCTAAAGCTGATTTTCGAAGCTCTCATGTCCGCCCAATTTTAGGTTATATTTTTTAATCGATTTATCCCAAATCATTGTAACATCTCAAATGCTTTACCTCAAGATGTCTATGTAATGTTCGGCTGACAAATGAGACAAAGTAATTGTCTACTGCAAGGCTTAAATAAAACTATTAAGTAACATCCTTTTTTTGAAAAACCAAAATGGGATCTTGACAAGTTATAAAATGTAGCTGAGCGTATTACTTTGTGCTAAGAATACTCTCGGTACTGTGTTATTTAATGGAAATGGAAAACATATGCCTCCAATTTACAGAGCGCCGATCCATTAGAGAATATTGCCTGAGGTCTTACACGTAAAAGCGGATAAAAATCCCATTTTAAGGCCACAAAATCTGCCTCTCACCTGGCGTTGGGTTTTTCTAGAATGAAAAATGCTTTTTAGCTGCTAATGTATTGCCTGACTGCACGAAAGTAGTAATGTGGTGAAGAAAAAAGTTTAAAGGCTATCATTACCTCATGAGAACCTTTTGTCGTAACAACGTCGGCTTCGTTAAAGGTAAGAATCGAAATGAGAGGAATGGTAATAGTTATAAAAATAAACTCAGAAGTGAATCATAATTTATTGATGCAGTAAAAGCTGTCTAAATTAACAGAATATCATTTATCAGCAAGATGTGTCTTCTTAAGTCAATAATACTCGTGTGCTCGTGGCTAAGAGTGAAATTTTGCTAACGTCTGTTGATTTTCAGTCTTCCTTCCTGGCCAAACGCCATCTTACATTTCCCTGGTCTCCGGTCAGTGCCTGATTGCTAGTTGAAAATGAATAAATCTTGAAGCAATACCCTGTAATTGTGATTTTAGAGCGATATAACGGAAGCTTAAGAATCAGAAATTGATAATTGAGAAAACCTTTCGCTCTCATAGTTATCTAAGGATTGCAACTGAACTTAAGATGGGCCAACCTTCTTTAGTCGAAACTTGCGAAAATGAACTTGAGTAGTAAAATGTTTTAGAACTGATAGCAATTAAAAATATAACCTTACTGAGCAAAGAAAAAAAACAAAACAAAACAAAGCTGTCATCATTTTTCTAGAACATTTAACAGTCACAGCACACCTGCTCAAAAAGGAGTGTTTTTTAACGGCGTATCTGACATCCCAACATCCATTCGAGTAACTACGACAACCAAATATCGGCTTCAACAAAGAAAGCCTACAATGATGGTTGCCGAAATAACCACAGGACTTAAATCCGTTGTGAACCATTCTCTGACACCTACAATGAGTCATTGTCAGAAATGTGCCCTTGATAATCCTTTTCGAGCGCGTTCAGCCTGCTTTGATTAGTTTCTTTTTGTTATGGTCGGATCGTTTTTCCAAGATAATTACTGGATTCTTTTGTTCTAAAAAAAATTAAGAAATAACTGTTTATTCCTTTACTCCAAGTCTGCATATATTGACCTTGTGTTTATTGGAAATAATTATCGCTCCTGCAGCTGAATTGGGTTAAACGGCTGGGAGACGTTCAAATGGCGACCTGGTTAGAAAGATCATTTCTTCTCAGGCTTGTTCGTGAGTATAATATTGTGTCTTTGTATATTCAGTCCTTTTGGCATTTTGTGGACCTCGATTGTGAAATCATCAGTGATGATAATTCAACATTTCAAACTAATCAGTTCTCGTGCGGACTTTCACTCTCTGGCCGCCAATTATATATGACTACCTTTCCACAAAATGATATTTTCCTGGAAATATTCGCCACTTGCTCTCGGCTTTAAGTTGTTAAACTTCAATCAGCTCGAGTGTGTTTCAAAGTAAGAAACAGGCTTAATTTCTGTTAGCTGTAAAACCAGGGTTCCATACGATCGTGACCGAATTGTGAGGAATAACGGTAATAGCTTCTAATCCTGTTAAAAAAGTACCGTGACATCCGCACAGCATTTCAATACATGACCGGATGTACTCCTCCGTTTAAACTTCAATTCGGTACGTACACAAAATCAGTGTTAAGAACTCAGTGATCAGTCTTTTAATTAAAAACTTGATCCCTTAATTTATATCGCAAAGCTACTAATGATGGACCAAGTTGATTTTCTTTCAATTAAAATCGGTGAAAAAAAAAAAAAAATTGGAGGTCGTTAAAACTGTTATAACAATCATTTCGCGAGTACTTTGGTGATCAATAATTGATTCACCGAGTCTAGAAAGGCCACCACACATTTATCTCCAGTACATCGTTTCCCAGGCGAGCGGAAAAAAGAGCGAGACGTACACGAAGCGTGGGTCAAAAGCGAGAAGAGAAGCTTGAAAACTTGTGTGCGTCCCTCATTCGTACATCCATCCTTTGCGCTTGCTTTGCACTAAATTCATACCGACTGTAAAACACACACAAAAAGGAACCTCTTCTGTTGGCTACCAGTGCGTTAGCATCTTGATAGATTTATGAGAATATGAGCACCTCGCTCCATCCTATTTCTTCGACTCACTTCATATGCTTTCAATCACTAAATTTATAAACTGGTAGATTTTATGAGTCATTTTGATATAAAACTTTTTTCACAGATTTCTTTAACCTGTTACGCATCTTTGTTTTAAGCGGTGAGTTGAAAATAATTGTTTGTTAAATACTTTAATACCAAATAGATTTTATGCTGCCTTAGGTCTGTTCAGTAATTGATCACATATGACATCAAAATAAGGCAGGAACAAAACAGATCCTTACCACATTTATTAGTCATCTGTGATTTATTACTGTACAGACCCACGGAAACATGGATTCAATTTGTTTTATGTGATAACGAAGAATTGGTGGGAAAAAAAATTAATAGTAACGTTATCCTTGCGTCTATCCTCTATGCAATGGATCAAAAGCAAGAACCAGTCAAAATACGTGTATAATTCAGCTCATCATATAGAGGATGTTAACACTCTGCAACGACTTATTGAAAACTAAACGGGTCATAAATCATTACTTCTTAAACATTTTCATTGTTCTCGTGTTTATGTTTTTTTGTGCTTTGTTTAAACTGGAGGATAGTTTTCGAGGTCTTAACAACGAACAAATGCAAACAAACAAGTCAAATACCTGATGGTACCGGTTCCTCAAGGCCTCTGTCATCCTATCTACATGAACTGTCTACGTAAATGTACTACGGTCCGAAATTAATGGAATGCGCACCCACCCCTCCCTGAACCCAAGAATGGTCAAATGATAACAAGTTAGAGTTAATGCTGGATTAGGGGAGGGGTGGGTGCGAAGTTGCTCAAATACTAACAGATCCAAACAATGAATAGTTTTATCCTCTTCTTACAGAAACAAGATGCTCCAGAAACAAAACTTCAAATCTGAACAATAACATATTTTTGACTAAATCATCTGACACATTTTGTAGCCCTGATTACGACACTTCTGAAGCCTATCCCGGAAATCTAACCTGTACATGGGTTATTTCTCTTCAAGAGAAGAGGATAAAGCTTTCTTTTCTAACATTTGATCTTCAAAACGCCAGTCCTGCTTGCCAAGATTACGATTTTGTGTCGGTTCGGGACGGGAAATACTCAAATAGTCCAGTTATTGGAACGTTTTGTGGTAGCAGAATACCTAATGACGTCCTCTCAACCGGAAATCACATGTGGATTCACTTCCGTTCAGATGGGTCTGTGGAGAAGCGAGGCTTTAAGATGTCATATACCACATATGATACTTCGAATGGTAAGTTCACTCAATCATATCCCACCTGAGACGGCGGGCAGGCGGCAGGCGGTTATGACCTAACAAGCCTTGGTCGAAGCGGATTTTTTCGGTGGAGCAGTCATATAACTTTCCACCATTTTTTACCTCGAAGTTTGCTAGAAAGCATTAGACACAGGTTCGCGTTTAAGAAAATCGTACGTAGCCTACAAAAAAATCAATACGACCCAGAACCGCGTTTGCGCTTTTGCCTTTTCCGCATTCAATGGTGACACAACCAAAATCCTGAGACCCCTCTCAGGCGATAAATAAAGATCGGCCCTTAAACGTAATGCTCTAAGGTGTACTTCACCTTTGAGAATATCTAAAAGGGTCTTCTAAGCATGGCCTGATGTGAATGTTTCATTTTTTATCTTTGCTCCAGGTCTATCAGCTGTTTCTTTTCTTGTGGCATCGGCCGTCGTAGTTTTCATTTTAATTCTAGTTGGTGTTGTGGCTTCGGCAATAAAAAGGAGAAACTCTCTTTCATCAACCCGCGTCAAAGTCTATAAAACCAGGCCGGGAATAACAATCAAGGTTTCTCCTGCTACACCCATAGAAAATCGGAGTAAAGCATCGTTACACAGTGACACAGTTACAGATAGTAATTTAGTTCTTCCCAAGGAAACGCGGAAATTCCCGTCCTGGATAAAACGCGGATGGGACACTGGTGACAAGAGAATAAGGCGGGAAAACGTGAGCG